GCTGGAGTGGGTGGAAGTCAGAATTAAGCAGTATTTTGCTACAGGCAGTTGGCTGTCCTTTGCTCTAAGTCAACAGTGACAGAGTTAGTGACGTGTGAGAGCAGATGACAGGACCCAACACAAACTTTCTTCTGGTGATTAGAACCCTGTGCCAAACAGGATTCTCCTACGGTAACTGCTCAGAGGTGCCAAGTTCTGAGCTACGGTTGTCAGATCACCATGCGCTCTGGTTAGTGTTCGTGTCTCAGTCTTCTTTGTGTTTATGACCTTGGAGTCTGAGGGACACTGATGAAATACAGGGTGTGCCCAGATGAGTGTTTTCGTGTTTCTCTGTGTCCTGTTGAGCCCGAGGCTTCTTGTGCTCCAGGTGAGTATTTTACCACTGAGGGAAACCCTCAGCCCTCAGCCTGAGTTTTCTGGTGTTCTTCCACATCATTTACACTAGGTTATAAAGACACACAGAGGTCAAATGTCCTCGTCACAGGTATCAGGCCCCCACATGTCTGAGCCTGGTTATCACTCATCATTTGGTCCCTTGATTAACGTTGTGCTTTCCGGCTGCTCTGCTCTTTTCCCTCTCCCTGTCTTCCTTTTTTGAGGTGTGGGGGGTCAAACTCGGGACCTTGCACTTCCAAGGCAGGTGTGGTGCCACGGAGCTCAATGGTGTGTCTTTTGTTTTACTTTTGAAATTACTTTTACTTTGCGTTTCTCATATAAGAGAAACCATGGGATGCTTAGCCTGTTGTATCTGACTTCTTTCACTCAGTATCACATTGTCAAAGTGTATTCATTTTTCCAGAAATGGTTCAAATGTATCCTTCTTTATGCCTGAATAAAACTCCTTCGTGTAGGGCTGGGGATTTAGCTTTGTGATTCTGCTGCCTGCCTCCCAAGAGAGCAAGGTCCCGACTTTGATGCCCAGTACCAAAACCAAAACCGAACAAAACAAAACACAAAACTCCTTTGTGTATATGTCTCATATTTTAAAACCATTATTCATGTGCTGTTGGCAATATAGGCCACATCTATTTTTATCTATTTTTGTGTTATATACAATATGTATGTATGATTTCCAATCAATCCTAGGTAGGCTTGGACCTACACACTTTTCTCCAGGTCTTAAACACAGATAGGTATATGTCAGTTTTCTGCACGATAATTTTGTTACTTGTGGTGACACAGAACTGACCTTGATGTCTGTGGCTTTCCCCACATCGTGAGAGAGTACAGCTAGGAGGGTAGGTTGACAGGCCATGACAAATAACCAGAGGCCACAGTGCTGGGACAGGAGCACTTTGGGCCCAGCCTGGAGACACTTAGAAAGGTCAGCTCCAATTGCTCTTTTGGCAAAGGTAGAGTCACTTAATGCTCAAAGAACCAGGGTAAACATCTCTAAGACGTTTGCTCCCTGGAGCAGGAGGTGCTCCAGGTGCTTCCTACCCCTCAGGCTGGAGTAACCGCGTGTCCTCATCCATGAGCATTTGGAGCTCATGGGATGGACCAGGGCTGGGCTCCAAGAGCCAGTGGATTATAAAGCAGCAGAAACCTCACTTGAGCAGAGCGTTTCAGGAATCTACACCATGAAGGGGGCAGTACTTGTGCTGGCCTTGCTGGTGACCGTGGAGCTGCACGTCCAGCCAGGTGAGAGTGGCAGAGGGAGCAGGTGACTTTCCTGAGCCTTACTCCCACTTTATCTCACATGAACCTCCCCGGTGTTCTCCAAGCAGGCTTTAGATTTAGGTGGCATCTGGGAGATCGTGGCCCAGGAGTCCTACAGAAAAGCTCTGGAGCCTTCAGCCTTTGAATGAATGGAAAGATTTGGTGGCGGAGGGGTCGCTAGTTGTACAGAGAGTAGGGAGTGAGTTGGGGTCATGGTGCTCATGTGAAGGCAAGAAACGTGGGAGCTGCTGTGCCTGGGGCTGTGGCTGTGGCCCTTGTGGTGGCCCTTGAACCGCTCCTTTGTGGCAGTAAGTCATGGAGAATGTGGTCTCTGTCTCGGGTGGCAGCAGTCATGAGCGTGGGGAGTGCTCTGTGGGACATCGATCAGCAGGCAGTAGACACAGTGGTGGGGAAACATGGACCTCAGCCCCTCTCTTCCCGGAGACTTAATGGGATGCTTTCTTGCCTGTGTTTTCAGCGGAAGCTTGTGTCATATTTTATGAAATCTTCAGTAAACTGGCCCTTGGATTTGAGAAACCATTGTATTACGCCCTTGACAAGGTACACGCTACTGAACCAGAAAAGGCAGCCTTTGAGAAAATCCAGGATTGCTACAATGAAGGAGGAATCAAAGCCAAGACATTGGATTCTATGGCCTTGGTAACTCCCTCTCTAATCCCTTTGTTGCCTTTCATGTGCTGCATATAGTAGTACTTCATGTATAAAAAGTCTACAAAATCATATAAAGTATGACAGCTGAGATTTGCAAACACATAAACCTTTGCTCCCCTCTACAACATGTCGCGTGCATACCCAGCCTGTCGTGCTGCCACACCTGTTCCTGTGACAACAAATAGCACTCAAGTAGAAGAGGTAAAGGACACACAGCTAAACCGGAGAATACGACGAGTGAAACACACACGGTGTTTCCGGTCCTGTGATTATTTTTTCCTCCCTGCGTTAGAGGACGTGGCAGAGCATGAGCAGAATGTTAACCTTTTTCAGAAAGGAGTCTTCAGTCCCGCTCCTGCACAGGCAGGCGCCCGTGAGCTGTGTTTTCGAGCCTGGAGCCTTCTGCCTCACGTGCAGCTTCCCTTCTGCCGGTGTCCACTTTGATGGCTGCTCCAGCAGCTGAGATAGAACCCTACTTGGCCCTGCATTGTCTCCGTGCTCCCAGCCAAACATTTCACTCTCTGGATTTTATCCCTGAGGTGTCCAAGGAAGCCCCTGGCTCTATTTAGCTGCTTACCAGATCTGCCCTGTGCATGTCTTCAGTTTAAAAACACGGGCTTGCTTTTGTGTTGTACAGATTTTCAATAGCCTCTGTCCTGTCCCAGTTCCCAAAGTGCTATTATTGTCAATGTGGGAAAATGTCCAACTTCCAACCCAGGAGCAGGATTTCTTGTACTCGGATAAGCACACAGGACACATGCGATTGCTCATTACACGTACGTGTACATTTCACACATACAGTGCACTTGGAGGATGCTTTCAGGCATAGGAGACTGCACAAAAACCCACGCTCAGACACCAGCCCCTCCCACAACCTTGGCCCCTATTATGCCCTTCTCATCTCCCCTGTCTTGCTGGTTCGGTTGTTCAGACTCTTGACAGCCCTATGCGGGCGGCCAGCAGACCATCTTCCTCCTGGCATCACCTGCCTTCCTCCTGAGGACCGGTGGGCCAGAGCTGCTCGTGGAAGTAGTTGAATGATGGAGCCATCTTTGTGGATGAGCAGTGGGGTGGTTCTGGGAGAATTGGAGAGCCCTGCCAAAGGTCCAGAGCCTGCCTGCGGCCAACTCTGTCCTTGTCTTACTTTCTTCCAGCTCTCAATCACCTTCAGCAAAGAATGCTTATCACAGAACCTGAAAACTGCAGGAACGAATCTTGCAAAAATTCGGGAATATCTTACTTCATTGATAGAAACGATTTGAAGAGTTGAACCTTTGCCGCTGGTGCCTAATCCTAGCACCATCCTGCCCTGTTGTTCTCACCTAAAGCTGGAATCCAGTCACCTGTCCCCTCCTGTTCATTCTTTTTAAGGCTGACTTTAATAAAGGTACCTGCATCACCACTGTGTGTGTCCCATGTGCTGTGTGCAGACTGCCTGAGGCCTGGCCAGAGATCTTGGAAGGTGGTGGAAACGTGTGATGTCACTCAGAGCATGGGGACTGCGGTCCACTGCAGCAAGGCCAAAGCTTGCCCTCCCTCCTCCTACTTGATACATGATGTTTTATCTTTCTGAGTCTGTGAAATGAGGATTATATGTGGAATCCATAGCATATATGTAACTTCATGCTTAACCCGCTTGGGCAGATAGAAAGCAAGACATGAGTCAATGTACAAGTGCTGAACTTGGCCAGAACTAGGAAATCCACTTTTCTGCTTCGGTTTACCCTAATCCACGCCACATAATTATGGCCTAAACTTTCTCCCTTTTAGGTCTTTTTTTGTTTGTTTTTTTGAGACAGGGTCTCATTATGTAGTAGAGACTTACATGCAATTCACTAGGTAGCCCAGGCTGGTCTCGACCTCACAGGGATCCTCCAGCCTCAGCTCCCAAGCACTGGGATTACAGTTGTGTGCTAGCACGCCCAGCTGTTCCCTTTTAGGTCTTACACAACAAGGGGATTCAGGGCCCTGGAGCCTCAGAACACCTCCCAAGGTTCCACACTATTGTCATGCATGTGGATCATTTCTCAGGCTGTTCCCCTTTTCAATCTCTTCTGGGCCTGGTTCCTGCCTCCTCTTTCATGCCTCTATCACTGAGAGCTGCCCAGTAACATCTGCTGGGCATACCCACAGGGTTTTATCCAGGACAGACATCTCTAACTAAGATCCTCATTATAACAAGCCACTAGGAGTGACCCAGGAGCAGCTATTTTTCTCTATATGGAACGTTTTCTACTGGTAGCAAGGAGTCTTAATCAGTTTTCCATTACTATCACAAAATACCCGGAGCTAGCTATTTATAAAGAAGAGGTTTAAACCAGGTGTGGTGGCACACACCTGCAATACCAGCACTCAGGATGCTGAGGCAGGAGGATTGCTGTGAGTTTGAGACCAGCATGGGCTACACAGTGAGTTCCAGGTCAGACTCTCAGTTTCAACGATATAGTGAGACCCTGTATCAAAAAACAAACAAACAAACAAACAAAAAAAGAGGTTTACTTAGCCTACAATATTGAAGGTTAAGAGTCCAAGATTAGGCAGCCCTGTTTTCCCTCTGGGAAAGACTCCTTGGGCTACATTGCTACATAGTGGATAAATAGAAAGGAATCAGTCAGCTACAGATCAAACATTTGCAGTAGAATTGCTTTGTAGCAACACTCTCAAAAGAACAGTCTCATTCAATGACACCAGCATTAATCCCTCCCCATGGCAGTGTTCCCCACGGCCCAGTCATCCCCCATTTTCTGCAACTCTTACAAGTTTTCACCACGTTGCACATCACCACACTGGAGATTAAGTTTGTTGCACATGAATGCTTGAGGGTCACCCTCATCACCATACAATGCAATCCAGGAGATGGATTCCTCTCTTCCTCCATTCTACAGATTTAAAGGCTCCAGGGCTTCTATTTCCTAGATGCGGCACACAGTGTTAGAGCAGTTCCCTAGGAGGCACAGCCTCTGAGTTCAAAAGTGGGTTCCCTGTGATTCCAGGCTCTTGCTGTCTTCTGTAGAACTCCTTGGGAACAAGAAAGTAAGTAAAACATATAGTTCCACAGGACAAAACTAACAAGTTATCAGCAGATGACTAAAACAGCACAGATTTGGAGAATAAAAAGTAAAAGAAACGTGATAACTCCAGATAGAGAGGAACACATGTAATAGGTAGGACAGAACCCCGAAGAGGTTTGGGCCTCAGAGGCGATGGCCAATGGAGTGCGCAAGAGGAAAGCTACCAAGGTGAAGAGGCTGTTAACTGGAAGTTGCTACGTGGAACTACAGACATCTGTAACTTCATTTCCTGCTCCTGGTATTCACAGACTACCTGCATCTGGGCATTCCTCCCTGAGGAAGCTGGGCAGGTAGTATGACATAACTACTAAGAGCAGGGACCCTGAAACCACACTTCACAGATTGAAAAATTTCATATTCAAAAGATCTAATAATTACAATGGCACCACTATAAGGGAGAACATAAGAGAGCTGTGTCTTTACAAATTTGCAGGAAAACCATTTCCAACAGAATTACATCTTCTATATTATATATTTACTAGGTGCAAGCTATGATTTAAATATGTAAAACTAAAAAACCACTTCACTTTTCTTGTACCTTTTCTCAGGAAGCTACAAGAGAACAGGCCAAGAAAGAGAAAGACAACTGAATTTCCAACATGACAATGAAAGTAAATCTGAGAACAACTACTGTATTGATTTTCAGCAACCATAAATCCAGAAGGGAGCATAAGAATACAAGATTCCTGGAGATAAGTCTCTGGGAAGAGGGAAAACCCAAACCCAAACCCAAACCAAACCAAACCAAACAACAACAGCAAAAGAAAAAGAGGATGGAGAGAAACACAACCTGTTATACTCCATTTGTTGAAATTTAAATTAATACAGCCACTGCAGAAAACTATACGGGTGGCTCCTTAAAACAAAACAAACCTGAGCTGGGGATATAGCTCAGTGGTGCAACACTTGCCTGGCAAGCATGTGCTTCTGAGTTCGATTCCCAGTACAACAAACAAGCAAACAAACCACCTGAAAATGTATGTGGTGGCGCATGCCTGTAAGCATTCTGAAAGGCCGAGTTAGGAGGATTGCAAGTTTGAGCACAGCCAGGACAATTTAGGAACTTGTCTTAAAATATAAAGTAAAAAAGGGAATGTAGCTCAACGCAAAAGCCCTGGGTTCAATCCTCAATACTTCAAAAACAAAAAAAACAAAGCTAAAATTAAACCCATTGTGTGATCTAGCAATCCCACTGCTGGGTATATATCCAAAGGAAATGAATTCAGCGCACAAAAAAAGATACTTGTATGCCCATGTTTTTTATTCCGGCACTCTTTCCTATAGTACACCACGTGCCAGCAGCACTCTACAGCGTCCTCAGGAGGGTTTGCTTAAGGTCAAGTCTGGAGCAGCATCCCGCCAGGCCCGTTGTTTAAGAGAACTACATTACCCACCAGGTTCTGGGCTGAGCGGCGCAGCGCTGAACCAATGAAAGCCTAGCACTATGGGCGGGACTTCCGGTACACCGCCGGTGGCGGGCATCCTGGTGACCCTTAGGTCTGTGCACAGATGGGAATCTGAAGTGTTGCTCCAGCCCAAGGTAAAGTGAACCGGAAGGCGTGAAGAGGCCTTGTCCGCCACACACAGAGATGGGTTTGTGTCTCCGGAGGGTGCCACAGGCGGTACTTCGCACAGGACAGGCTGGCGTGCGCTTTTGTCTTGGTCTCTTGCCTCTTCAGGGTCCGCCCCGCCACTGCTCTGAAAATGGCCGCCGCTCTGATGGACTCTGCCTAGGTCGGTGCTGCATCCCCTAGACCCGCACCTATCCAGGCCCCGCCTCCAAATCCTGAAGCCCAGAGTGCAGGGCTACTGTCTAGGTTATTTCAACCTGACCGCTTTATTCAGGAGAAAGGAGTGTCGCTCGTTGAGGTCACCGTTTGTAAAAGTCGAGCATGGCGAGGAGTAGAAGAGTTCTTTACAGAGGGACCAGCCTGTGCAAAGGCTTGGAGGTGCAGTTGAGGAGCAACAGAAACGTTGTGAGCAGATGAGTTAAATATGGAATGGCAGCTGCCAACATGCCATTGTGAGGGCGCTGAAAGAAATGGAGGGAATGAACAAAGACTAGATCTGAGTAAGGATTTTAAGATTCCTGGAGGTTGCTCAAAGGAGAACAGACTGGGACATGAGAAGAGAGGGCAGATCTTGAGGCTGCTGCAACAAACCAGGAGACTGTGCTGAAGCAGGGCTGTGACAGTAAATGTGGGAGAAGTACAATTAATTACGGGTCGATTTTTAAGAATAGAAAACTAGCATTCACTCAGCCTGTATAACTCCCATGTCATTTTAATTTATGAATATATAAAATAGCTTCTTACTGCAACAATAAGAGATCAACATTCCTCTGAAAGTGTACACATAGATGGGCAATTAATTGAAATGTGTGCATTTAACAAGTTTTGGGGACACAGTATTTGGGTTACACTTTAATATAAAACAAAGCAGTGTACTGATAACACTAAAAAGCATGCATAATGCAGTCTCATTAATTCTTTATAACACATCTATAATTGCAAAAATTATCACATCGCTTGCACTATTAATAGAAGCCTTCGTTCTTTGGATTGTAATTGCTCATACTTATATCTTGTATACTAAATTACTGATACCAACGCTAGCCTTGTGGTGGTTGGTACCATTTTTATACCCACTTTGTAGATGAAGATAACACAGAGAGGTTGAATCTTCATCCAAGGTGACAGCCAGTAAGAGGGAACACTAAGGCCTGAAGGCCAGAAGTTAGTCATGTAAGCAGGATGTGGTGGCACACGCCTGTAATCCCAGCATATAGGAGGCTGAGGCAGGAGGATCGCCATGAGTTCAAGGCCATCCTGGGCTACATAGTGATTTTAGGGCCAGCCTGAACTGCAAAGGGAGACTCTGCCTTAAAAAAAAAAAAAGTTAGTTTTGTGGCAGTCGCCTTGTGGGGGGTGGAATGGGGGTTGGGAGGGCATATGAGCTCTTGTAGTCATACCAGGGATGCTCTCCATTCACAGTGTCGCTCTTTCCACAGGTTTCCATGGCTTCAGGAGTGCTTATGAGCTATACACAGGTGAGAAGAGGGTATCTCAGGCCCTCACCCTGCTTGTATGCCACCCCTATGGTTTGGTGGTTGGTCTGATAGTGGCTGTTTGGATTCTGGGGTGTCCTGGGACTCTGTTTGCCACTCTACTAACCATTAGTGCTTCTGAAATCTCTTCATACATATGATCCTGAATTCAGGCCAGGGATTATATGGAGATGGTCCAGTGTCTGGCTGTTGGTAGAATGTCTTACAGCAGGAAGTTACAGGCACAGGCATCGACATGCACAGTTTAGGATGGAGACTGAAATGGTAGTCAGCTAATATAGATATGTTTTGCCTTATGTGACAAGAAAGCTGAGATGCAGGATTCAGGCCTGGAATAGAATGGCAGGCTGGGGTACTGTGTCTTCATTCTTTGGGTATTGGTAGCCATGGAAGTTTTGAAGTAATGTGTGTGGGAGGTCATCTGAATCAGGTCTTAACACATTTCCTTTGGCTGTACAGTGGAGAATAGACAGGAGCGAGGAAGAAGGCTCTAGGAGAATATCATTTATGTTTGGTCCAGCGTGAGGGGAAATAAGTGTGGCTTCTGGATTTATTTTTAAAGTAGGTCCATTGTATGTTCTGATGTTGAGGCTGAGAGAGAAGGAAAGGAATCTGTAATAACTCCAAAGTTTTGGCCCTTCTGCTGGAAGGCAGTAGATGCCAACTAAATAGAGAAATTAGTTATAGGACAATTTTTGGAAGGATGTGAGAGTTAGGTTTTGGCCGTGTTCAGTCTGAGATGTTCCTGCAACCCCTGGGAGGAGGCCTTGACTAGATAGCTAGACATACAGATCTGGTGTTCAGGAGAGAGATACTGGCTAGAGATACCACCAGTTGTTGTCTGTAGGGTGCTGACTTGGAACTGAAATTCACATTGAAGAGAGGAAGAATTCAGGTCACAGTAGCAATTGTTGGAGGCAAGGAAGGGGAGTGTTAGGTTAAAGGACTGAGTTTTTCTCTTGGGCAACTGAATGGGGTTGGGGTGTTTCATAAAGAAAGGCAAGGGAGAGTGGTAGCTGTTGGTTTAGAGTTTGGTCTGATAGTAGATGAAGAATTCCCAAGGGGCAGGGATGTAGCTCATTGGTGTCGCGGCTTCCTGGCAAGTGCAAGGTCCTGAGTTTGGTACTGGGGGGGAAAAAGAGAGAGAGATTCCATGGAAAATGATGTTTGGGCCAGGGATTTAGCTCAATGGCACAGTGCCTGCCTGGCAAGCTCAAGGTCTTGAGTTCAATCCCTGGTTCCAAAAGAAAAAAGAATTCCCAATTCTAAATGTGGGATGAATGTAGAAACATGGCACTAGTGGAGATCAGATGACAGGCCAGCGCTTGAACATGAACAAGTGAACAGCCTTCTAAAGGTTCCTGTGACTGGGCAAAGTGGGCCACACCTGTGATCCCAGCTACTCAGGAGTATTACAAGTTTGAGGCCAGACTGAGCAACTTAGTGAAACTGTCTCCAACTCAAATTGTAAAAGGGGATTTGTGAAGCTCAGTGGTGTAGTACTTGTCTAGTATAAGAAAAGGTAGTCAGCTAATACAGCACAAGATTCTAGGTACCAAAAAAAAAAAAAAAAAAATGGCTCATCAGCTTTTGGGGTGATCTTTCATGGGGCGTAGAGGGCTTCACTAAGGCTGATTGATAAGTTCAGAGGAAAAAGGATGGTTTGTGAAGTTCAGGAGACCAGTGAAGCTGAGCATTTGAATTGGGCTTTGGTGGAAGGAGGATGGCTGATAGGGGTGAGTGTACCCCCTGGGTAACGTAGCAGAAGAGGCCTTAAGGTATCTGTCACCTACACGTGGTGTGGATGACTGAGGTTGAAACAAGAAACAGGCAAAGCAGAGAAGTCTTTAAAGCAGGGCTCTAGGCTTACCCTGTCATTGTGGACCTTCAGAGGTCTGAGGCAGGATGATAACACAGTACATATCCCAAGCACACTGATGCCGTCCGTGTGCAGAGGAAGTTAGTGAAGTTAGGGAAATGCTTATGGTATAGATCAGGGGCTTGGCTGGTTGTGGTAGGTGAGAAAAATGAAGGTGGGGTAGTCTGCAGAGTGACATGCTCAGACAGTGCGTGCACATTGATGGCCCCAAGCCCTTAGTGCTGGGAATGTGCTGAGCATGAGTTTACATGTGCAGGGAGCCATTACCAGGGTTTGCTGGCAGGACCAGGAGTGGTGGTGCTCTTTTGCCAGGCCCAGAGCTCAAGTGGCATTTGTCTTACATGTGCTTAAGTGGATGTGGGTGACAGTGATCAGGAGCAGTCTGAGGAAAGAGGGGAAGCAGTTTTGTATCACTGTGAGGTGAGTTAGGGAGCAGGAGGAGAAGAGAATGCATGATTTAGGGGACAATGATAGACTGAAAGTGGAGAGATTGCTCAAGGACACTACTTTTCCTGTCATATCAGGACAGTGTGACCTTTGGGGATGTGGCTGTGGACTTTTCCTGGGAGGAGTGGAAGCTTCTTGATGAAATGCAGAGACTCCTGTACCGAGATGTGATGCTGGAGAACTTTGCCCTTGTGGCCTCATTGGGTAAGTCCCTCACAGTCCTTCCATGTCCGAGTCTGGCTCTCTCCTCTCTTCTCCAGGGCCTATGCTTTACTTCCCACACCCTCCTGTGGGCACTGCTGCCTTCAAGGTTTTCTCGTGTCTGTGCTGTGGCTGCCATGCCCTCCCTGTCTCACTCCCTGCAGCCCTGCCACCTGGAGCCGGAAGCCTTCCAGGGAAGCATATGGAGGGTTGTAGTGCTGCAGTGAGCCCAGTGGATCCCCCTAGGTGTGTCCTCACCCTGGCACAGTCACTGTCCAGTATCCTTGTACCTCTCTGCCCCCAGCTCTGCTCCCTCTGTCCTGCTAACATTTCCTCTGCCTGGTGATGCCAGGCATCACACACACCAACATAATCATTGCTCACAGGGACCACTAAGTTGTTTCTTTGAGATGCTCCTCCAAGTTTCTTTTGTGCTACTAATGTCCTGTCCTGTGGTGGGGATGGGGTCACTGTGTACTACTGCTGTGCACTTATCTGCCTTGTCTCCACCTTAGGACTTGTGTCTTCCCAAATTCATGTCTTGGTCCAGCTGAAACTGGAGGAAGACACGAAGGGGGCTGATGGAGCACACTTGACTGTAGCCACAGGGGAGCCCTGGAGACAGGCTGTCTCTGGTAGGTGATAAAGGAGCATGGCTCCATGTCAGAGGTGGTTTCTGATTGTACCGGGAACCTTTCCAGTGCCCATTAGTGTTGTCATACCAAAGACAGGGGCCATGATTCCTTTCATTCCTACAGCGCTTTTTGTTTTTGTTTTTTTGGTGTTTTCAGACAAGGTCTTGCTATGTAATTCAGGCTGACCTTCACCTCACTGTGTAGCCCAGGTTGGCCTTAAACTCGCAGCTATCTTTTCCTACCTCAGCCTCCCTAGTGCTGGGATTACAGGCGTGTGCCACTATGCCTGGCCAACCCCATTATATTTTCCCCACTTGTCCTTCCTACCCTGAGCTAACTACACCTCTGTGCTTTTAGATGACACCCATTCTTTGTCTCTGGTTCATCTGTAGTGTTTCCGAGTACTGAGCTACACAGAGTGTGCTGTGAAATGTTCCTCCTCTGAGCTATCCTTGAACAACTACTTAGTCGCAGTTGGTTTTCTTGGGTGTGTACGCACCCTTTTGTTTGATGTTCACATTCTCCAGCAGACAAGCCCCTGCCGAAAGTTGTCTGCTGGGAGATGGGTGAGTGGTGCATCCTCCTTTTTCCTCACTGCGCCCCATCCCTGAGTTCTTGCCCCACAGTGGTCCCCTCAATGTCTCATTTTGGACCCTTTGTCACACTAGCTTCTGCCCTGTTATGCTCCTATGAGTCCTATGTACTTATTGCTAGATTTGTAATATGCATCTTTCTTCATTAATGCATGAGAATATAATTAGAGAGAATAATAAGCTTTGGTCTACAGAATAAAGCTTTTTTCAAACTTTTGAAACATTTTGATGTATTTTTCTTTGATCCATTTTTGTTTGCAGTGCTGAGGCTGGAACACAGGGTCATGTGTCTTACATTTATTTTTAAACATAATAAAAACAAAAATTATACATATTTTTATGGTACCATGTGATATCTCAGTATCTTCTCGAACATTTGTCCTTTCTTTCTTTTTCTTTTTTTTTTTTTTGGTACTGGGAATCAAACTTGGGACCTTGTGCTTTTGAGGCAGGCAGCAACACCTCTGAGCTAAATCCCTGGCCCATCTGTAGTCTTTCTTAGTGTTCAGTAAGCCACACGCTACCACTTCTTGCTGCAATGCGTAATTGCTCCCGTATGTACTGTATTTACCCACTACCCATGCCTTTCTTAGCCTCAGCCTCCTCAGCCTTTGGTAGCTATCACCCTATTCTCAACTCCTTTCTGTCAAGTTTTTTAGCTTCCATATGAGTGAGCGTATGTGGCTGTTTTCTTTCTGTAAGTACTTTCTTTCGCCTAATGTGATAATCTCCATTTCCCTCCATGTTGTCCCATATGACAGTTTATTCTCTTTTGTTGTTCAATTGTATTCCATTGTGCATGTGGACAATTTATTTATTCATTTATAAACTGACCAACATTTAGGTTGTTGAATTTCTTGGCTCTTCTGAATAGTGCTACAATCACTATAGGACCACAGATGTCTCTTCAACATGCTTATTTCTTTCTTTGAATATATATCCAGTAGTAGGACTAATGTATTATATGATAGTTCTAGTCAAAATTTTTTTATCTTTTAGAAATAGGGATCATATCCAAGGCGTTACATATTTGAGGCAAGTGCTCTATTATTATTAGTATTATTATTGATACCAAGGATCAAACTCAGGTCCTTGTGCTTGTGAAGCAGGTGGCAGAACCACTGAGCTACATCCCTGGCCCTCCAATCCTGATTTTTAATTATTTGACAAACCTCCATATTGTGTGATTTTTAATTATTTGACAAACCTCCATATTGTGTTCCATGATAGCTGTACTAATTTCTTTTTTTTTATTGGTACATTTTAGGTATACAGTACAGTTACATTCATCATTGGGATCTTGTACCTTTACATGACAGGTCTTGGTTCTCATTTTTTCCCCATACCCCTGCCCTCCCTTCACCCCCTTGTACTAATTTTACTTTACATTGTTAGCAGCAGCAATGTGTAAGGGTTCCCTTTTCTTCACATACTGGTCATCATTTGCTATCTGTTGCCATTTGATACTAGCTATGCTTAGTGGAGTGAGATGATAACTCATTGTGGTTTTGATTTGCATTTCTTTGATGATTAGAAATATTGATTATTTTTTTCTATATATACATTGACCATTTCTGGTCCTTTTGGAAAAATGTCTATTTACTTCTGTTGCCCATTTTTAATTGGGTTATTTTATTTTTGCTATTGAATTGCTTGAATTCAGTGTACTGGATATTAATGTCATGTCCTATGTATAGTTTGTAAATATTTTCTCTCATTCTGTAAATTTTCTCTTCTGAAAGATACACATTTTTGTTGAGCACCTCCCGTCACAAAATTCTTAACATATTTCAACATTTCTGCTTTCAGGTTCTTGGTTTCGAGTGGAAGATGAGGAGGTACCTTCACTAGGATCGTCACGGTTTAGGGTTCCCAAAGTGGATCTGGCTACTCTGAAAGCCTACCCTTGTGGGATGTGTGGCCCAGTCATGAAAGACATTTTACTACTTGCTGAGCAGCAGGGAATACATCCCAGGCACAAACTACACACATGTGGGTCGTGTGGTAGACAGTTCTGGTTCAGTATAAGCATCCCTCAGGACCAGAAGCAGCACAGTGGAAGGAATCACCTCAGAGGTGATGAGGACAGGGCTGCACATGTGAACATCTGCCAGCTTCGTGTGTCAGGGAATCCTCTCACATGTGAAGATGGTGGGAAGAACTTCCTGTCCAGCTCATACCTTGTGCAGCATCAGACCATTCACACCAAGGGGAATTTTCCCGTACGCACTGAGAGCAATGAGGCTTTTCATGTCAGAGAAGACCATTACAAGTGCAGTGAATTTGAGAAACCCTTAAGCTACACACACAGACTTCTTCAACACCAGAGGATTCACACTGGAGAGAGGCCCCATGTGTGCAGTGAATGTGGTAAATCCTTCAGACAGAAAGGCAGACTTGTTCAGCACCAGAAAGTCCACAGTAGAGAAAGGACTTACCAATGTAGCGAATGTGGGAAATCCTTTCGACAAAGCTATGGCCTCATTCAGCATCAGAGAGTTCACACAGGAGCGAAACCTTATAAGTGTAGTGAATGTGGGAACTTTTTTAGCTACAAAACCACAGTTATTCGGCATCAAAGAATCCATACTGGAGAAAAACCTTATGAATGTAGTGAATGTGGGAAATCCTTTAGACAAAGGTCTGGCCTTATTGGACACCAGACAGTTCACTCTGGAACAAAACCTTATGAGTGTAGTGAATGTGGGAAATTTTTTAGCCGCAAAGTCACACTGATTCGGCATCAGAGAATCCACACGGGAGAAAGACCTTATAAATGCACTGAATGTGGAAAATTCTTTAGCCAAAGCTCTGGCCTTATTTCACACCAGAGAGTTCACACTGGTGAAAAGCCATATGAGTGCACTGAATGTGGGAAATGTTTTAGCCATAGATCAAGCCTCAATTTACATCAGAGAGTTCACACTGGTGAAAGGCCTTATGTTTGCAGTGAATGTGGGAAAGCCTTCAGCCTTAAATCTGCTCTTGTTCGACACCACAGGATTCATAATGAAGAAAGAACTTACAAGTGCAATGAATGTAAAAAATCTTTCACTGACAAGTCTAGCTTGGTTAAACATCAACGAAATCACGTTGAAGAAAAGCCCTAGACCAATGCGTCTCTCTTCTTTGATACCATAAAGTTCACCTTGGAAGAAGGCCTTGGAGTTCAAGGAGCATGTTGCCTGCTTTTGGTCAGTGTAATAGGTAACACCAGAGAAATTCTGAGTGTAGCCTTTGTGAGGTAGTCATTGGCCACAAGTTGAATCCTACATCTGGACGTTTATACTAGAGAGATTTCCTAGGTGCAAGGTATATGGAAAGCTTTCAGGAGCTGGCTGTATGGGCTTTCTAATCTGCCCACAGCCTTTGGCTGAGATATGTTACTGCTGTTACCTAAGGCTAATGCCATTTCACCTCCAGCAGCTGGCAGGTGTGTGTCAGTTTACACTGTGTGCTTAAGGAAGGTAGGCCTCTACTATTTCCCCTTCCATGGAACATGAGTAATATGAGACCACTGGAGTCTACTGTGATTGTTTTCATATACTGGATGCGATTACTAGAGTTGAGGGCAGCAGCCTTCAAGAGATCACCATCTGAATATGCAGAAATATTCTAGTCACTAGCTATAAGAGATGATGGCATATGAATATTCTTGGGACATCCCAACTTGTGAATTTGGTTGCTAGAGCAAGTAATATTTTCTAGAATGCTGAGGCTTCTTGGGCTGTTGACCTGAATCCTTTCTATATAGGCAAGAAGGTAGAAGCAGAGTGGAAAGAGATTATAGTCTAGTCATGTCACTCTTCACTTACAAATAGCTTTTACTGCTCACTAGTATCTGCTTCCACTGAAGCAGCTCTGTCCTTCCCAAAGTGTGAGGACAAAGTTATGGTGGAATTAGTATGTTTGCCAAATCTTGTTTTTCCACAAAAACCAAGCCCCAATTTTTATGTTGAATCTTTTTTTTTTTTTTTTCATTTTTCATACCAGGGATCAAACTCAGGACCTTGCTCTTATGAGGCAGGCATGGTGCCACTGAGCTAAATCCCTAGCTCCATGTTGAATGTCTTTTAAAAAGCTCCACTGAGATGTAATTGATGTGTGAAACACTGCATATTTAAAGTACCAAATATAATGTTTTGTCTAATATATAAGAAATCACCACAATCATTGTAAACATTCAACATTTTTTTTTTTTTTTTTTTTTTTGAGAGAGGGTCTTCACTATGTAGTTGAGACTGCCCTGGAACTCACTAAGTAGCCCAAGCTGGTCTTGAACTCATAGCAATTCTCCTGCCTCAGCCTCCTAAGTGCTGGGATTACAGGAGTGCGCCACCACGCCTGGCTCAAATTGATTAATTAATTTGTTTTGCTTGGTGAGTCCATGGGATTTTTTCCATTTTGTTCATAAATAAATACAGTTTTATTTCTTTGTTTTCCAACTGGTAATTGTGACTTTTATTGACATAAAATTGTTCATATAATCTGTTATCATCTTTTAAAAGACAAAACAAACCACAAATAAGTAGACTCTGGTCTAAAGGTCAGCTTTCCTGTACCTAACTGCTATGGTGTGACTGTCTCCTAAAGTTCATGTTTTGGGGACTTAATCTGCAGTGCAACAGTATTTAGAGGTATGACTTTGAAGAAGTCAGGGTGAGGGATTTAGCTCAGTGGTGCCGCTGCCTGTCTCACGAGCAAGGTCCCAAGTTTGGTCCCCAGTACCAAAAAAAAAAAAAAGTGATGTCAGTCATGAAGGCTGTTCCCTCATCAGTTGTTAAAGCAGGCATGGGTTTATCCTAAGAGTGAGTTTCACCCCCTCTTGTGCACGTATGTGTTCTCTCCCCTCTCCTTTCACGTACTTTCTTGCCCGTTTGCATTCTGTTATGGGATGATATTAGACCCTTCCCAGGTATGGCCCCTTACTGTTGTATTCCCAACCTCCAGAACTCATAAGTTTATTAATCTAAGCTACCCAAGTTTAGGTGTTCTGTTATAGTAGCACAAAATGGACTAATAACAGAAAACTGTTAGTCAAGTGCTGATTTGCTTTATCAAGTACCAGAAAATGTGGAAGCAGCTTTGGAACTAAGCAACTGGGAGAAGGTACAATTTGGAGACACAAGCTAGAAAAAGCCTAGGTTCACTGAATAGAGCATCAAGAACAATCTATTGAGAGCTCAAAAGAAGAGAAAAACTTCAGAATGTCTGGAACTTCTCAGAGACTCCCCCAGTTGTCCTTTTTTTTTCTAGTTTGTAAGGATGACGTATCTTTATTGGGTTAGACATTTCTAACCCAATAAAGGCAGTGAACCCAATAAAAGTCCCATTCCCCAATCTTTTTGTATGTTTGTAATACTTAAAATCTCACTTCCACTCTGAGGAGCATGAATGGCCGAATAGGCCTTCATGATGCTGAGTCTTACAGCCCAGTGAGGCTCCGGGAGCTCGACAGAGGTACGAAAGTCACCCAGGAAGGGACACACCAGGCTAGATGGTAAATAGACCTTTATTAATCTGGCCAGACGGCACTCAGAACCAAGTAGCTGGCTCAGAGGCACCAGCTCAGGGGCTGAGGTCCTTTTTATAGGGGGTAAAAGGGGGTTAACATTCTAAGCTTGCAGGCAGGGGACAAAGGTCTGCTGATTTGAGTTGGTGGGTAGCAGTCACATACTTGGCAGTCACACATTGATGATTAACAGATACCTATTGGATGTTTCAAAGGCCACCAAGACATTCAGTATGAGCAAACAGTTTGACAATTAACTTGGGGTCTCTGTACAGTACAGATTTTATCTCATAGTCTAGAACCACTAACTTACACATTAGTCATGATCTGGACTTCAAACAGTACAAGATCGCCTTAACATTTCTAAGCCAGGGTTTGAACAAAGGTCAGCGCTATGGCTACAGTGGGAGGGGGTTAGAGCACTGTCTCCTAGGCCCTTTGTCATTTAGCATGGGCTTGTAATTCAGGTCTTACATGTTGTACTATCATATTGTAGAAGATAGAATTAACTTTCAAATGACCTAGAATAGCTGTAGTTTTACAATATGTGCCGCTGAAGTGAGCACATAGAATTATCGGGGACCCCTGTAGCAGGTCCTGATCTGATTGGTGCTATGACACAGGTGAGCAGAAAGAGACAAAGTTAAAGTGAAACGGGGAGCCAGGGTGGTCAGTACTGAGCAAGCAGCAAAGATCCTGGCCAACCAAAGCCGCTGATACTTATTGGTGACGTCACAGGTCAGCGAAAAGGGGCTACGTGTGGTTGCTAGGGATACACTGCTGATGCAGGCAAGGCTTGTAAAGGAAGAGACAAAGCATTCTTGTACTAGGAATAGAACAGACAAAATATAGGTTGTTATTAACAAATAACCTTTGTATTTTTTTTTGTGTGTGTGCCAGGATCGAACTCGGGCCCTTTTACCTGCAAGGTAACCTTGTCTTTTCAGTCGAGAAGGTTTTAATTTTGGGAACGGAATTTGGGTGGGAGTCACCGTGACCTCGGCTGCCATGTTAGCTCACATTAAACCCCACAGCTTTACAAGTTATTATTCTGGCCTCTGCCACAGCTGTTGTGGGTAGGGGTGCTGGAATTGATCTGCATGCCATCTGCAATGCTCCTATGAATGACGCAGGCTTCGGTCAGCCTCACTTCTTAAAATAAGCCAATTGCACGGTTAATGCCTTACAACCTGCACTGCTTGCAGCCTGCTTCGGGCATAATCAACACGGTGGTCTACCACATAGAATAGCTATAGTTTTATCTGCGGAGATTTCTTTGCAGCGTCACAGCAAGGTTCCGGATGAGAGAACATTGGTAGAAAACACGTCTTCCTTGGTATCAGCAATGCCTACTCTCGGGCAGGGGATAAAGAGCTATCAGCAGCCTTACGGATGACCCGGAAGTTCTTGTCGCGGCCGCATGACTTTCTGGGAATTGTAGTTTATCCGTCTAGGCGCCATTGTTTTTGCAACGCATATAGAGGGTGGCCCTTGGATCTGACAAGTATCATTCACAAGAGGACACCGCGTGCTTCTGACTGTCGCACGTGTGTCCTTGTAGACCCGCTCTGGGTGGGACAGTATCTCCGGGGGTACGATTCCTTAGAAAGCCGACCTAAATGCGCTGCCGCAGAGACTCCCGGTTAATGTGGTTTTCCAGGGTGGCCACAGTTTGCGGTGTCGGGAACTTTTGTCCCGGATGCGGAGGAGTCTGGGAAAGTTCGCTCCGTTACAGACAAAGCCTTTGGCTCATTCTGCTCTGACTTCTTATCTCGTGACAGCCTTCTCGAAAGGGCCCGGGCCCTGAGCAGTGTAGTCTCCTGCTGTAGAGGCTGCAGCCGTTGTCCGCGCATCAGTGACCAGTGCGTCGGCGCTTGGGTGCCATTGAAGTGAAGCTGACTTCCGGCAGGTGTGGGTCCTAGTAGGGCGGAGGGCGGACTGGTCTGGGAGTATCTCGGTGGCGTCACCGTGGATGGGACTTGGATTTTCCTGGCCTCCCTGTCCTGCTCTGTTAACTGTGGAGTAAGGACCCGCGCTTACCTCTTAGACGTGTTCATTGTGAAAAACGAACTGGGCGGAGTGTTAAGTAGTAAGCGCTCAAAGGGATGCCACCTGCAGTTTTCAGGTTAGAGGGCTGAAGCTTTCCAGGTGTGTAACCTTGATTAAGTACTTTACATATCCCGGGGTTTATCGTTTGCAAAATCGGGAATAATACGAATGACATAGTGGTCAAGGTATAATAGGCTGACATTTCACACTGTTGTTTTATGAGCCAGTCTCTTATATACAAAATAGTTGATTTTTCTGGCAGGTGACACCAGATAAATGGTTACCCCGTGCGGTAAACAGTCTGTTAGGTCACAGGGAGAGATCGGAGCCCCGGAGTGTGGTTACTGGTGTGCTTTTCCGTTGTGGTGCCACAGAGCTGCAAGATAAATTTATTTTTCTCTCCCTGCCCTTCCTCTCTATCTTTTCAAGACACTATTCATCTATGAACCAGGAGTCTGGAAAGAGAACTGTGTTGACTATTGGAAACTGTGAAATAATGTCTCAGGTAAGTCAGTGTCCTCAAATCTTACTGCAACACTATCGTATCTAAGACTCTTTGAATTTTCACTTTGCTTTTCCTGACAGTTCCCACCTAACAAAGTCCATTTAGGGACTGGATCTTTAGTTCCTTTCATTATGGGAACTCTACCCATGCATCTCTTTTCTACCACTTTTATGCTAGAATGCTAGTCTTGAGCCAGAGTTATTTTGTTTTGTTTTGGTACCAGAATTGAACTCTGGGTCCTTGTGCTTGTGAGGCAGATGGTGGAACCACTGAGCAAATTCCCTGGCCAAAGTTCTTTTTTTTTTTAAACAACTCAAAATTTAGGTTTGGAATTTTAGTTTGTTTGAACTGTGTCGTGTGATCTCAATTGATATATATCATCCTGCTAGTGGTTCAAGAGATGTTTTAAGTTTTCCTTTTCACTTAACAATTCACATCCAGATGCTCTAGTTGGATCTAAAATATAAACAATATACATAGAATCTGACCATTGGTTGCCAATTACTGCCAACCTGGCCTGTGCTACCCACCTTACTGCCATAGCCTCCTAGCTAGATTTCCTACTTCTGCCCTTTAACTCTGTGTAGTTTCTTCTCAATGCAGCTGTCACAATAATCCTGTTATATACTGTCATTCTTCAACTTGAAAAATTTCAGTGGCTCTAATTCAGAAGTCAGAATTTTGCAGTGACCTCGGAAGCCCTGTACAACTAAGCTGTTATGTCTCTGATCTCACCTTCTCTGCCTGCTTTTCCCTAAGGGCCCCAGCCATTACCTTCAGGCCTTGGAAATGCTGTAACATCTTCGAATATTCTTCCCCCAGTTATACACAAGATCCCATTGCCTTCTTTGTATCTTTGTGCAATGTCTAAATAAAGTACCTATTTAAAATTGTAGTCACTTTCCGCTGCATATCCTTCCCACTTCTTCAACACTGCTTTGTTTTCTTTTTTTCTTTCTTTCTTTTTTTTTTTGGTACCGGGGATCGAACTCAGGTCCTTGTGCTTGCGAGGCAGGTGCCGGAACCGCTGAGCTAAATCCCCGGTAACACTGCTTTGTTTTCTCTACCAGTTATCACTCACTAGCTATATACTGTATGTTTGGTGTTATGAATATGCTTATTGACTCCTTTTTCTGGGAGCAATAAAATTTTTCTTGACTGTTATACTTTTTACTACCCAGAGAAGTACCTGGCACAAAAACAGTTGGTTAGTAAATATTTATTGAGTGAATAAAATGAATGACATAAATAATGGGGCAGAATCGTGCAATGGAAGTTGACACCTACACAGACAAGGACATGAATAGTAACTGTATGTGTTTTCTTGACACAAACTTAAATAGCACATGGTTTCTCAGAGAGAAAGAATGAGAGCGAGAGCAAAACAGAAGACAGGGAAATAGGAAGTAGGGAGAAGTTCACATAATTCCCCAAATTATTCTGTTGTTTCAAAACTGTTTTAATATACTTGCAAATTTCTTTCATTTATACTCCCAGCTTCTCTTAGTTCATTGAAAAGAAATGTTTGTGTTATAATCTGTTTCTTTTTTGTAAGAGAGTCTTTTTGTCTATGACTTGTACTTTAACATTTTGCCCATTCTCTTGAGATTATAGTACACTGTTATTCTCTAATTATTTTATTATGAAATTTATTTCATAGAAGTGTGCTTTTAATTTTCTTTATTAATATGTATCTACATATTTAACAGTAAAATTTTAAAAATCATCAAACTTTAAAAAATATGTTAAAAAGCTTTATTTAACAAGGAAAAGCTAAAGTGAACTAATGCCAAAATCATTCATTGAACATCAATGAAAATCATGTTCAGACTTGGGTGTACATTGACATACAGGACTTTATGATCCTGCGCAGAACTGTGTAACCGACTTTATACCTTGGCTGGGCTTGAACTTGTAATCTTCCTGTCATAGCCTCCCAGAGTGCTGGGATTGCACATGTGTAGTAACATCATGTCCAGTACAGTAAATGCTAATTTAAAAATTTTGTATAATTATATTCTTTTTGACAAAATTCTTTTTTTTATGCATTAAGCTTATTGGTACATTGACAAAATTCTTATGAGGTAAAGATATTTGTCGCGTTCCTTTTGTATAATAATATCAAGCACATAATTATTCAGTTATGAAGTAACAAATCAGATTTCCAGTGTCACAACTTTTGAATCCTTTTCAGTTTCTTCCACAACCAGGATAATTTTATCCTTGTGTAGTGTAAGAAAAGGCCTAGGCTGTGGTTGAACCTAAATATTTTTGCTATTTCAGGTGACATTTAGTGATGTGGCTATAAACTTCTCTCATGAAGAGTGGGGATGGCTAGATTCTGCTCAGAGGGATTTATACAAGGATGTGATGGTCCAGAATTACAAGAACCTAGCCTCTCTAGGTAAGGATATCTTCCCCTCCTCTTCAGTAGAAAAAAAAAATCTTTCTTTTGCACTCTGAATTGCTGGAGAGTCTCCTAAGTAAATGGCTGAATTACTGAACCATGTTCCCTAAAGCTTATCATCTCATTTCAGTGAACGTCCATCAGCCCTTTCTTTGATCCTTTTCATGATGGCTTCATCCTTGAGGACCACAGTTTAAACAAGTTCTATGTTCTTCCTGTAAGCAGGTCTTTCTGTAACCAAGCCATATGTGATCTCTTTATTGGAAAATGGAAAAGAACCCTGGATGGTGGAGAAAAAACTATCAAAAGGTATGTTTCTGGGTGAGTCTCAGGCAAAGAAGGTGCTTGATGGGAGTGTGGAGTTATTTTAAGGATACTGTCTGCAGAGATCCCATTTGTAAATGAAACTGAGGGATCCTTAGTTTACATTTCCAAATTATTATTGCACCATCCTAGATTATTTTGTGTCTCTTACTCATGTCATTTGCTCAAAGGTGAAGGGTTATGCCATTGTACCAATTCAAATTGTTTTATTGAAACCAAATAAAGAAAGTTTTTGGGCCGGGGATTTAGCTCAGTGGTTCCAGTGCCTGCTTTGCAAGTGCAAGGACCAGAGTTCGATCCCTGGTACCAGGAAAAAAAAAAAAGAAAATTTTCTTTTATCCATTTAAGGAAATGGACATACTGGTGATTTTAAGCTAAGAAAAATCATCAGTGAAGTGAAAAATCACTATTTTCTTAAATCTGAGTTTCAGAGATCATATTAAGTGTTAGAGGAAATAAGGCATGTATTAAAATATATTTCTAGGAATGATATTTTCCAGTGTCCAGTAAATCATCATTTCACACAGATACTACATAAATCCAGAAAGCCTAAATCTTTATAATCCATAAAGTATGTTATTTTGTTGTCATTGTAATTGTTCAATGTAGTAGTATAAATTCTGTATTTTAAACATATTAATCAGGCAGCAAATTACGATTAATTGAAAGAGAAGGCTGTGATCATATAAAATGTGGTCTTTCACACAAGTATAGGCACAAAATAATGTCTTGGAATCCAGACTGCCTTTCACATTTTCTTTTCAGATTTTTTCCCCATATACTGTTTGTGTATATTTTACCCACTTCTCTTCTTCTATTTCTGCTTCTGGGAGCTGTCTGTAGTCTCTGTTCCACCTGGGCATTGTTCAGAAATCAGGGAAATGCATGAGCTGTGAGAGCTTTGCTCGTTTTGGAGATGGGGTCTCCTTGTGTTGCCTCGCCTGGCCTGGAGCTCATGATCCTCCCGCTTCATCTTCTTGAATAGCAGAGATTACAGCTGTGTTCCACCATGCCTGGCAGAGCCATGTTTTCTAGGAGTTTTATTTCGAATCTAATTCTCCTATTTCCACCATAGAAGTTACTCTTCATGAATTATAGAAAAAGCAGTGCTTTGCTTTCTTGCTATATTTCAGATTGGGAATCAAAATGGAAAAACAAGGAATTATTTACAAATGATATTTATGATGAAGATTCATCCAAAACTGTAGTAATAGAAAAAAACTTAAAACAAGGTTGTGAATTTTCAAATTTTAACATGGACTCGCAACATATAGAGAAGGTGGAGGGCAAACGCGGACATCAAATAGAACATTTCAGACCAGTGACCTTCACCTTTAGAGAAAGCCCAACTGGGGAAAGTGTTTACAAATATAATGCATTTAAAAGAATCTTCCATGTAAAGGCTACTCTTTCTGAACCACAGATAATTTCTGCTGAAGAGAAGTCACATAAACATGATATATTGAAGAAAAATATACCCAAAAAGTCAGTTATAAAAAAGGAGAAAAGCAGTGACAGAAATAAAGTTTTGAATTCTAGTGAAAGTGTGGCAACTTTTAGTCAGAGCAAATCTCTTAGCCTTCACGAGACTTATAGTAGAGAAAGGATCTATACGTGCAGTGAATGTGGAAAAGGCTTTGGCAAACAATCAATCCTTAATCGCCACTGGAGAATTCATACAGGAGAGAAGCCCTATGAATGTCGTGAGTGTGGGAAGGCTTTTAGCCATGGTTCATCCCTTACTCGGCATCAGATAAGCCACAGTGGAGAGAAACCTTACAAATGTACTGAGTGTGGGAAGGCCTTCAGTCATGTCTCTTCACTTACTAATCATCAGAGCACTCACACTGGAGAGAAACCGTACGAATGTATGAACTGCAGGAAGTCTTTCAGTCGTGTTTCGCATCTCATTGAACACCTGAGAATTCATACTCAAGAAAAACTTTATGAGTGTCAAATGTGTGCGAAGGCCTTCATTCATAGGTCATCTCTTATTCACCATCAGAAAATTCATACGGGAGAGAAACCTTACGAATGTAGTGAGTGTGGGAAAGGTTTTTGCTGTAGTTCACACCTTACTAGACATCAAAGAATCCACACTATAGAGAAACAATATGAATGTGACAGATGCCTGAAAGTCTTTAGTAGTCTCTCATTTCTTACTCAGCATCAGAGTATTCATACTGAAGAAAAACCCTTCGAATGTCAGAAATGCAGGAAATCCTTCAGCCAGCCTGAATCACTGAATATGCATTTGAGAAATCACATTAGGTTGAAACCTTATGAATGCAGCATATGTGGGAAAGCCTTCAGCCATAGGTCATCCTTGCTTCAACATCACAGAATTCATACTGGAGAGAAACCTTACGAATGTATTAAGTGTGGGAAGACCTTCAGTTGTAGTTCAAACCTTACAGTACATCAGAGAATTCATACTGGAGAAAAGCCATATAAATGTAATGAATGTGGGAAAGCTTTTAGCAAAGGCTCAAATCTTACTGCCCATCAAAGAACGCATATTGGAGAGAAACTCAGTGCAATGAACATGGAAAAATGTTTAGGCCAAATAAGTCACTATACATGTCAGAAGTCATATGAGAGTGAAACTGTATGAAACAGTATTTGTTCTAATGAGCTTTAGCCACAGATCCTCTAATTCAACATTAGACAATTTTTACTGAAGAAAAGTATGGGAATACCTTTAGTAATGGTACAACCTTATTGTCTATCAGAGTTCACCCTCTAAGAAACTATATAATGACAGTGAATGTGGGAAAGCCTTTGTCAGTTGATACTTAAATGACATAAGTAAATCTACGCTAGAAAAAAAAACTACATATAACAAATATGAGAAAGACCATAGGCAATATGAATTTCTTAACAACTTGTGCAGTAGACAAGTTCTAGGAACATAGAAAGTTAAGAATGTGTGAGAAGTCCTCCAGTTGAAGTACATCTCTCACATTGGAGAGAAATCTGACATAAGCAGATTGTTCACTGAAGGTTATCTTGCTAGACATTAGAGTTCTAGAACAACATAAAGGATGCTGGAATGATGCGTAGATCTTTGCAGTGGTACTATTTGTAAACAAAATTCTACAAGGAGCAGACAAATATTTTTACAGCAGTACCTTGCAATTTGAGTCCTAACAGAAATTATTTTTAGCTAATGGTCATGTGAAGATATTTAGTAATCCAGTGGATACAATACATGTTATAATGTTGAAAATGAAAGCTGCAAAAGAATGTTATTAAATTTTTGGTTTCCAATAAAATCATTCTGTATATAAGAAGCTTTCACAGTGACTATTTCTTGCAAGAAATTTCACTACTTCTTAAATAACTAATTTTAGCCATAATTTTAAACTTTAGTGGGAGATGGCAACCTAGAGAAAAATGGCCTGTTCTCTGTAGTAAGAATATTATTTTGGTGAGGATAATTTCTGGTCCACTTTGAGTTAGCTTGATTCACTACTTGAAGAAAATTTGTTGAGCATCACTTATATGTATTACGCAGTTCTGTGGATTAGGATATAATAATGCAGTTGCTTACTGAACTTTAGTGATATTTCAGAATCAACAGGAAAGCTTGTTAAATGTTGATTGCTAAGCTCCAACTCCAGAGTTTCTGTTTCACTTGGTTAGAGGTGAAGCCAAGCATTTGCATTTTTCACAAATTCTCAGGTGACACTAAAGCTGTTTGTCCAGAAAGCACGTTTGATGACTATTATAAATATTGACAGATTTGTCCTTTTTTCATGGATGATAGCTGACAAAGGATAATAGCAAATAAACTAGAAACAACTTTTTCAAGTATTGTGAGATGATCAAGAGATTCAAGCAGACTGACCTGTTGGTGTGTTTGTTAATCGGAATCCTAAAGGATGAGCACTAAACAAGTAATGAGTATCGAGTAATTATGCATCGGTGTACACTTGCGCCCACACGTGCTTTGGGTATTCTATGTAAAACAGTCAAGTTCTGTTATACTCACTGTAGCTGGACCTGTGTCTCAGTATCTAGCTTCAAGTCCTGTGGCTTTGAAGTTTCACTGCTGGCAGAAGCATTGGTAATGGCAACAGTCATTTCTTCATCCCTGGGTCATAGTTAGGCAGGTTTATCTTGAAATCTATAATTCCGAAGTTGCTGTTATTACTTTTCCAGCTGGTTCACCAATTTTAGCATTAACTTCCTGCAGTGTATGTCTTCCTGAAATGCCTAAGGGAGTGTTACAGAAGGAACTGACAAATGGCACTCACAGAGAGGTGCAGAATGGAACTAAAATAATAAGAGTTTATTTGTTGCCAGTTGTGGTGGTGCACGCCTGTAATCCTGGCACTCGAGATGCAGAGGGAGGAGGATCACTGTGAATTCAAGACCAGCCTGGGCTACACAGTGAATTCTAGGTCAGTCTCAACTACATATTGAGACCCTGTCTCAAAAAAACAAACAAAAATTTATTTGTCAACAAAGGGTCAGTCGCACATAAAATCAGTACCTGTATCAACGACCCACTGTGTTACAACCCCTCCTTTTATGACAGCCTGGACTTCATTTGGGCGGTTACATTTCATTCTCTTAGTTCATATTGCTGATGTACAAATCGTGCTCACCAGACAGTTCAGGGAGTTTATCTTTAAGATTTGCCTAGTTATCTGTCCTAGCCCATAGGAAGGGGGTGTTCAGGGTCAGGGGAGCAAACGTTAGCAGTGCTCCTTTTCATCTTGACACTTTTCTGATCATGTGGCTCCAGAAAAGTTCCTCTTCGGAGCTCGAGGTCGTGACGTGCCGTGTTATCTCAGGGTAAGACCAAATGTCTCATTCAGTAATTAATGCCTTCGGTGGCTGTTAGTTGTGAGCTAAACAAAACAAACTGCTGTTGGAGATGGCAGAAGCCATTCTACATTGACACTTTATAGGTTTTTGCTGTTTATAAAAGTTTTCCCTATCCTGCAGTGTATGTTTTTGTTTTCTGCCCTGAACTTTGACCAATAATTATGGTTTTGTAAGGAGAATGGCTTCATGTGTTCTAATTTCTAGATAAAAAGTGGAATAGTCTCAGGGTCCCTGTCCCTGTGGCTTTCTATTTTGTGACCAGAAAGTACAGAGTAATGTGATGGGTGCATGGACACTGGAGAGGAAATGACAATTACATGGTGTATTTTTCAGGTTTTGTTCTTCATGACATTTGAGAGTATCTCGAAGTGACAGGGTTCTACCTGACACAATTATATGTCAGTGGTATTATTTAAATGGACTAAGAAATAATAGTATCCATGTCTCAGTCATGTCTGGAGAATGCTTACTATAGCACAGCTCTGGCTTTTGCCAAGACATGTTCATAAAGAAGTTAGATGGCTATAAGCAACACTAACTCGGACCTCAACATTAATCAATCCCAGACAGAGAGCTGCATTTCCAGCAGGTCCTGGTGCTCATTGACTCGCTTCGGGGACATGACCATCCCTGAAGCAATAGTTACACATGCAGTTTGAGTGCTGTGAATGCCAGGCTTCAGGCATATGTTTAATAAATACCTGAAAAGTGAATATGTGAATAAATGGACCGATGAATGGATATACTCCTTCCTTCACTGTTGGCCACAAAGTCCTCTTCAGACCTTCGTCCATATCTACTAGGAAATTGAGCTCTGCAGTTCTGCTCAGTCCTTGTAAGGCTAAGTGACCAGGCATCAGAGCTTGAGGTATATGTGCACATTTCAGTCAAGACAAGGAGACCAAGATGGATCCTTTTGTGCACATCTACAACGTGAAACATAATAGATTATGAATCACTTTGAAGAATCTGATGAAGCTACCTAGCTGAAAACATTGAAAAGTTTCAAAATTGTTCTTGTGGGTAATATGGAAAGTTTTGTGAATATTCCTAACTACCCCCCCTACTTGTTGAGAAAATACTGACACTGCCTGGCGGCCATGTGGACTAAACAGATCACATGCCACAGTTAGAAAAATACATTGTTTCTCTAGGAACCTTAAAAAAAAAAAAAACTCCCCTTCTAGCATTAGACCCTTTGAATCTTTTTCTCTATGTGGCAGGGTCTCTAGTACAAAATACACTTGTAAGCCAGGCATGGTAGTGTATGCCTGTAATCCCAGCACCTGAGAGGCTGAGGCAGGGTGAGCCTAGGCTATACATGGAGTTCAAGGCCAGCCTGAGTGACACAGCATGACTCTCTCAAAAAACAAAAAACAAAACAGAAAATTGTAAGTTTTGAAACTCACAGATAGAGCTATATTTGGGCAACTGTCAAGATAGGAGAGCCAGAATTCAGCCTGTGGCCTAGCCATAGAGGTGGGAAGATGATTTTAATTTCAATAAAAGGATTGAGGAGACTTTATGAAGGGGAAGAGGTTCCACACATTCAAGGGAAACATTGAGAAAGGCGTGCTCTGTTGGTTGAGGAAACAGGCGCATGGTGTGCTAATATTGCTGAAAGCAGCAGCGGAACCTCAGTGCTGCCTACAGTGAAGGTTAGCAGAGCCTATCTAGTTAAAGTCAGGTTCAGCACTGTGATGTGAGTGAGCCTATATGTTGGACAGGTCAAACAGTAAAAGCCCATGAGTCCCTCTTTGAAAATATCTCGCAAGCCTATACTCAGAGGTGACCAAAGACCAGGGAAACGGAAAGAGTAAAAGTACTCTCTATAATAAGGGCCACTCACAAGGGCTAGACATGGCTGCCCACACAGGGCACTGGACAAAGATTTGAGTTCTCATGACTTGTTTCCCATCTTTATATGCTTAAGGGTGTGAGCTCCGGTTGGCTTTTGTGTTTTTTTTTTTTTTGTTTTTTTTGGTACCAGGGATCGAACTCAGGCCCTTGCAATTGCAAGGCAGGCAGCAGAACCACTGAGATAAATCCCCTGCCCTTTTTGTGGACTTTTAACTCTTGATTCCAAGCAGAACATCCATCCATATAGTTTGAAGTCAGGAATCATAGTAAGAGAACCTGAGACCAGGTGTCCCAAATATAACTCAAGGTAACAGAAATACATTAGACCTGTGGGATAAACTGCTGGTTATAAACCTATGGGAAATCCTCTCCTTAGTTAATCTTTAAAGTTTTTAGGACTCTAACTGGCTATACTTAATGGCATAGATTGTGTTCACAGTACTGATTCCAGTATTAGTATATGGAGCATTTACTGGATATGAGTTCTGTAAGTGTATACTATGCACATGTGAATACAACTGAGTTAGGGCAGTACAATAAAAATATACTAGAATACATTACAATAAAATACTATAGTTAAAAGATTTTATTATAAAGAACAGTAATTATAAATTGTTAAGATATTTTAATTAGATAAGGTGTCTTTAAATAGAAAAAAACATTAAAAATGGTATATATAATTGTTGATGAAAATGTCTGCACCAGAGGCTCATAGGAACCTAACCCTATATTTTCCCTAGCAAAAATGACTCAGTAGTCACTAATTGTTTCAAACTTGTATACAACATAACTTTCAGGGATAAGAATTCACTGTAAATATAAAGGTGTGTGTATGCACCTATGTAAGTATTTTGTAACTCAAGCCTTTATAATTCTCACAAAGACTTAACACTTCTTGAGGGTAGAAGTGACAGAGATTTAGAACAAAGAATGCTTTTAATAAATGTTGGCAGAGTTATCCTTCAGGGTTCAATTCTTATATATAAAAAACACATAAAGGCTCAAGAGGCTGAGGCAGGAGAACCACTGTGAGTTCAAGACCAGCCTGGGCTGCATAGTGAGTTCCAGGTTAGCTTCAATTATGTAGTGAGACCCTGTCTCAAACACACAAACAAAAAACAAAACAAAAAACAAACAAAAAGCCACAACAAAAAACCACATAAAGGGATGGGAACTTTATAATCTTTCATCTGTTACCATGGCAAACTGTCATAGCTTGACAAGAGTTGGAAAGAACTCATGCATACATTTGTTTCTCTTTTACACTTCATCCTCCATTTCTCCTTGTTTCTTTAAAATACTCAATCTTTTTTTAAAAAATTGAGTTTATTGGTACATTTTAGGTATACAGTACATTTACATTTATTATTGGGATCTTGTACCCTTACATGACAGGTCTTGGTTCTCATTTTTTTCCCCTTGTCCCTGCCCTCCCTTCACCCTCTCCTCCCCTCCCCATTTATAAACACTTTATTTCCATTTTCTCACATTTTTTCCCCTTATTACCTTTCCCCTACCCTTTCCACTTTCCCTACACCTTTAGCCCTTCTTCTATTTCACCTTGTCAATTATCTTATTAGGATCTTATGTACTATTATAGTTTTTCACACCAGATCCCCTTGTCCCTGCCCTCCCTTCACCCTCTCCTCCCCTCCCCATTTATAAACACTTTATTTCCATTTTCTCACATTTTTTCCCCTTATTACCTTTCCCCTACCCTTTCCACTTTCCCTACACCTTTAGCCCTTCTTCTATTTCACCTTGTCAATTATCTTATTAGGATCTTATGTACTATTATAGTTTTTCACACCAGAGAAACTCTATGATGCTATGAACATAGGTGAGCTAAGGGTTTATTGATTTTATTTATTCTTTCAAAAAACTAACTCTTTGATTCATTTAGTTTTTGTATCATTTTCTTAGTTTTCATTGCATTGATTTCTGCTCTAATCTTTATAATTTTCTCTCTTGCTTGAGCTTTAGGTTTTTCTTGCTCTTGTTTTTCTAGTAGTCTTAAGATTCATCATTAGGTTTTTTATTTGAGCTTGCTGTTTTCCTAGTGTGGGCATTCAGTGCTATGAATTTTCCATATAGAACTGCTTTCATTGTGTCCCATAGATTACTGTATGTTGTACTGGCATTTTATTTGTAAAAACTGTCTAATTTCTTCTTTAATTTCCTCTGTGATATTCAAACCTGTTCTTTGAGCTAGAATGTGATCTATCTTGGAGAATGACCCATATGCAGATGAAAAGAATGTACATTCTGATTTTGTGGGGTGGAACACTATAGACGTCTATTAAGTCCATGCGTTCAAAAGCTTGGTTCAGTTCTAGTATTTCATTGTTGATTTTTTTGCCTAGATGATCTATTTGTGAAAGTGGGATATTTAGATCCCCCACTACAATTGTATTAGTGCTTATTTGATTTTTCATGTTTCTTAATATTTCTTTTATATAGTTGGGGGCATTAATATTTGTTGCATATATGTTTATGATTGTTACCTATTCCTCTTGAACTGTTCCCTTTACAAGGATGTAGTGGCCTTCTTTGTCTCTTTTAATCAGTTTTGGTTTGAAATTTACTTTGTCTGCGAATAAGTTTGCTACCCCTGCTTTTTTCTGGGCTCCTGTCGCATGGAGAATTGTTTTCCATCCTTTCACTTTCAATCTGTGGGCTTCTTTTTGCACTAAGTGTGTTTCTTGTATACAACATATTGTTGGATTTTGCTTCTTAATCCATTCTGCCAGTGTATTTCTCTTGATTGGTGAGTTGAGGCCACTGACATTGATGGTTATAACTGATATGTACTGACTTATTATAAAATACACAAATTAGATCTATAGTGTAAATAAAAAGAAATTTTTGGTAACATTTTACCTAAATGCATAATAACCACTTTGACTCTCCTGGATGATTCTCAGATGTGACATAGGCTTAGGCTGAGACAACTTCTAATGTACATCTTCAGATGACAAGTGATGACCTGAAACAAAAAGTTTTCACAGGGATGATAATTACTTTTCCTCTTCTTACTATAAGAATTTTCAGACACTGTTAAGATATTTTTGTCCAGTTTCCTTGTTACATTCAAAAGAAATTTCACCAATATGTGTTCACTCAAGTTGATTGAGAACACTGTTGTAAAAGGCCTCCCTATAGCTTTGTAGTATAGGCTGGCCTTGAACTCACTATGTACTGCAGGCTGGCCTTGAACTTGCAGTGATCCTCTTGCTTCAGCTTCCTGAGTGCTGAGATTACAGGTGTGCACCACCACACCTGGCCAGCCTTCCTTTAGCTTTTAAACTCTAGTGTGAATCTTTCGATGGAGAGTGAAGGATGAACTGTGCCTGAAGGTCTTTCTACATTCACTGCATTCAAAGGGTTTCTCACCAGTGTGAGTTCTCATGTGCTGAGTTAAGGCAAAGTTGTCACAAAAGGCCTTACCACATTCTCTGCACTCAAAGGGCTTTTCTCCAGTGTGGATTCTATGATGCCAAATGAGATTTGCAGGTTGTGTAAAGGCCTTGCCACATTCTTTGCAAACACAGGGCTTCTCACCAGTGTGACTCCTCACATGGCAAATGAAGGAAGAGCTAGAGTAAAAGGTTTTTGGACATTCTTGATACTTTAAGGGTTTTACTCCACTGTGGGTCCTATTATGTCGGATAAAAGTAGAGTGCTGTGTAAAGGTCTTTCCACATTCATTGCATTCATAAGGCTTCTCACCAGTGTGAATCCTCCTATGACGAATTAAGGAAGAGCTGTGACAAAAGGCCTTTACACACTCTGCACTCAAAGGGCTTCTCTCCTTTATGGGTTCTCTTATGACTGGTGAAAGTAGAGCAATGAGCAAAGGACCTTGCACATTTGCTGCACTCATAAGGCTTTTCACCAGTGTGAATCCTCATGTGTTGAGCGAAGGAGGAGTTTTGACTAAAAGCTTTCCCACATTCTTGGCATATAAAGGGTTTTTCTCCTGTGTGAGCCATATTATGGCAGATGAAAGTAGTGCGATGAATAAAGACCTTTCCACAGTCAGTGCACTTGTATAGTTTCTTTCCAGTGTGAATTCTCATGTGTGGAGAAACTGAAGAGCTGTAGCACAAAGCTTTCCCACATTCTTTACACAAAAATGACTTTTCTCTACTGTGTATGTATATGCTGGTGCTCTGTGAGCTGACACCTGCGTCTGAAGGCCTTCCCACACTCATTACATTCATAGGGCTTCATGCCAGTATGAATGTGTTGATGCTGAGTAAGAGCCTGATTCTTACTAAAGCCTTTTCCACATTCTTTACATTTATAGGGTTTGTTCATTGCATCAATTACATAGCCTTTTCCTGGCTTTTCAGAGTCATGTTCCTGAATAGCATCTTGTGCAATGATTTGCTCCGGTAAAACTCCTGAACACAGATTATCACCTGTCTCCAGATCATGTTTATGGCTCAGTTTTCCAGAACATGTCTCCTTGGAGAGGTCTGTTCCTGGCTTCAAGTTCCCTTCCTGCATTTCTAGTAGCCATTCCTCATGTGTGGCTTGCCCCAACCTGGAATTCCTTGAGGATCTCTGTAGCAGTTGTTCTTGGTAAAAGGATTTCTTCAAAAAGACTAGCTGAGAATCAGTAGGCTGTGTTGTGTCAAGTTTTGCTTTCTCACCTGAAGGAAAGTCAACATAAAAAGCCATCTATCAGTGACATATATAAAACAAATAAAATCACTTTAGTAGAAAAATGAAGATGAAAATATAGTGACCTTGATGCCTACCGCATTTGTACATTTTTTTTTTTTTTTGAGACAGCTATTTAGTTCAGGCTGGCCTTGAACTTACTATGTAGGCCCATGAACTCACTATGTAGGCCAACCTCACAATGTAGGCCCAGCTGGCCTCAAACTCATGGTGAGCCTCTTGCATCAGTGTCTTGAGATTACAGGCGTGCACCACCATGCCCAGCTTGCATTTGTGCACCTCTTAAACTAATTTTGCAGTTTCTTTTCTGATCCTAACTTTGTCCAGATGGATAGAAAGAGATCTGTGGAGGCTACTCAGAAAAGGCGCTTATGTGAGCTTATTTTTAAAGAAGAGTAAGAATTACCAGAAAGAAAAATGAGGAGGGAAACTGTGGCAAATGAAAAAATTAAAAAGGTTTAGAGTCTTAAGAGATGCCGAATACTCAGCAAAGTGAAGAGGGTGAAAGAATAGTGGAGAGGATGTATGCAGGCAATGGTAAAGGAAAAATAAACTTCAAGATTCAGACTCTGCAACGGTGGAAGAGAGTCGGAAGCAAATGGATACATATATTGAGTCTGCTATATCTGAATAAAGACCAGGTGAACAAGCCCCAAATAATTAACATGGAGATGAAGAAAACTGAAATTTAAAACATGAAGAATCTATATGAAGAGAAAAATAATAAAAAGTTATAATTCTTCCTAAATTCATTCATAAACTCAATATATATCAGGTAAAATCCTAATAGAGTTTGTCACAGATATTGACAAGGTAGTTATAGAACATATAGAGAGACTGGGTATCTCTGAAGAATAAAACAGGAGAACTTGTCATGTAAAGTATTATTATGACAATGTTTCAGGGCTATACAGTAATAGATAAAAGATAAATCATCAAGGGAAGAAGTGGAATAGAGAACTAGAGATGTGTAATACAATTTATAAAAATGCCTTACATAAGATACAAATGCATTAATCATAAAAGAAAAAGCTAGTTATATGACTCAGATTTTTAAAAATTTAAAAAGAAAAAGGTGGCTATATGAGTACTAGATAGCCAAATGCAGACCAAAGAAAATGAGAGAAATAAGGACATTACACAGTGATGTAAAACTAAAAACACAAAACGATCTTAAACTTGTATGTAACAAACATCAAAACCTCAAAATACATGAACCAAAAACTGACTTGGTAAGAGAAATAATAGGAAACAGGGAGATAGATCTTTTCTTTTCTTTTTTTTTTTTTTTGTCAGTACCAGGGATCTAACTTAAGAGATAGATCTTTTGCCAATGGGAAGAGGACCAAGACATGGAGTCAGAGGGGATGTAAAAAGAATTAAGATGTGTCATATACATGTACCAGCTCCCCACAATGAACATAATCATTATGTATTACAAATATGTACTAATAAAAATAAATATTTGAGGAGCTGGGCATGGTGGAAACACACCTGTAATCCTAGTACTTGGGAGGCTAAGACAGAAGGATCACCATGAGTTTGAGGCCAGCCTAAGATACATAGTGAATTCAAGGCCAGTGTGAGTTACATAGCAGGACCCTGTCTCAAAAAACCAAAAAAAACCCCAAAATACTACTAATAAATAATATGAAATATGCCAATCAGTGTATGAAGAGATGATGAAATTCTTGGTAATGAGTTGCTATGATTTATATCTAGATGTCCCCCCCTGCAAAGACTCATATACTCATAGGTAGGGCTTTTGGAAGGTCACTGAATTATGGGGGTGGTGTAACTGACCTGCTGTTAGGAGGCAGGATCTGGCTGAAAGAGATAGGTCACTGGGGGTGTGACCTGGAAGAACACATCTCCTTCTTCAGCTCCTTTTGCTGTCTGCTTCCTGTTCATCCAGGACATAAAGTTTTCCTTTACCCAAGCCACTCTACCATGTCGCACATCATGCGTGGACTGAACAACTTCTGAAACATGAACCAAAATAAACCCCTCTTCAAGTTGTGGGTACTGGGTATCTGTCTCAGCAATGGAGGAAAATGATTAAGATATAAGAGGAAAAGAAATTAAGATCACAATGAGATACCATTTTATAATTTCTTGATTGAAAAATCTTAAGAACCTGACAATGTCAAGTACTGGAGGGAATGGGAATCCATGGAATTGTTCAGACACTGCAAATAAAGTGTAAATGAGTATACACTTATTCATGGTTTTGCTGTGTTTTTATTACCACAGTCTAAAAATATTACTGTAAGATTTTGAGAGAATCCACGTTCACATAACTTTTATAACAGTGTAGTTATAATTGTTCTATTTTATTATTTTTCTTAATTCCTTACTGTTCCTAATTTAGAAATTAAATTTGTCAAAGGTATGCATATATAGGAAAACAAACTTAGTATTTTTAAGGTTTGATACTATCTAGTTTCAAGCACATACAGAAGATCTTGGAATGCACTCAACCCAATAAAGTAGGACTATTTTTTTGTTTGTTTTAGACACAGGGTCTTGCTGTATAGTTCAGGCTGGCCCTGAACTCACTATACAGCCCAGGCTGGCCTTGACCTCTCAGTGATCCTCCTGCCTCAGTCTCGTGAGTGCTGGGATTACAGGTGTGTGCCACTGTGCCTGGCAAGCAGCAGTATTGTAATCATTTTAAGAAACAACTGAGTATCATCTAACAAAGTTCTCTTGTTATTTATTGTACAATCCAAAATCCAAGTCAAATGAACATTAGATAAACTCCTACACATGTGCATCAGGACACATTTTTGTGTACATGACAGCTCTGTATATAAGAACAAAAAACTATATATAAACAATTAAATGTCCCTGAAAATGGATAAACATTGTGGTTTACTCATGAACTGACTACAGCACAAAGGAGTGAGTGATCTGTAACTACATGCACAATGAATCTTAGTAACAGCCTTTTGAATAAAGAGTGAAAATCTTACAATATGCACTATCATAGACTTTTTGTAATGTTCCAAAAAAAGCATTGTATGTACCCATATAAGCAGAGTGAAACAATCTTTTTAAATTTTTTTGAGAATGTGGATCAGTTTTCATGGTAGTATATGAATGAAATGTACAAATCATAAATTTATAGTTCACCTTTTATAGTAAAATGTTACATGTAACATTTACCATTTTAAGATAAAATAATCTTCAAAAGTAATGGGTAGATAAATAAAGTGAACAAATCCCTTAAATGACTCAAATTACCAAAAAGGATACAAGAAGCCATAGGAACTGAACTGCCTATACCCATCTCCTCCCACACAAGGTATCTTTCTACAGAACAAGAGGTCATACATTTGTAGTGGTAGCAGTCCACACACTGGATAGCTCTAGCTGCCCTTAGCATCCAGGATATGAGACTGATAAAGGCAAACACGTCACCTAGAGATTGTAAGAAGGCAGGAGGGCAAGAAGACAATAGGACCAGGGACTGCTTCTGAGCCAGCTTTGCAAACAAGGTTGGATGCATGAAAGTACGGACAGGACAATCAATGACTGGATGGAGAAAAGAGTATAGCTCAAGGCAGTAGTCTGCAGGAAAAAGGACCAACTTGGGAATCTGGAAGTAAGTTTGAGATATCACTATTCATTATGCCTAATAATACATGAATACTACTACTAATAGGTAACTTTTGTTGAGCCATCCTGGATCAGGCAGTGTGTTAAGCAGTTTCCTGTTACCTAATTACACTCTCAAATAGCCCAGTGATACAGGAACCATTCTCACTGCCTTTTCAAACATAGGCTAAGTTTAACACACTAAGTAAATACTCACCATACCATGGGCTCTTTTCCTTAGACAAAAGGCAAAGCCATATTTCCAGCCTGATATTGTATGTAGCTCAAAACTCTGTTCTTGTCAATGAAATGTAAAAGGAAGTGATATGTGTACAAGTGAATATGAGTACTGCCCTTCTCTCCTATTCCTCCTGGCCAGGGAAACTGAAAACCACACACTGACAACAGAATGCACCTGGGGTTCCTAGATAATATGTGGTGTAGGGCTTGTCTGCTGACCAGCAATAGAACTATGGTATGAATGAGAAAAAAAAAAAATCTGCTGAGCCACTAAGAGGTTGGAATTTGTCTTTTAGAGAAGGTCATTTAACTCAGCCTAACTTGTATGTATTCCAGTGGCACAATGCTGGGGATTTAGCTCAGTGGTTCCTCCGCCTGCCTTGGAAGCCCAGTGACCCAAGTTCTATCCCCAGTACCAAAAAACAAAACAAAACAAACCAATGGCACAGTGAGATCATCCAACTTCCTCAGAGTCCAAAGGCAGGTGGGTAGCAAATAATAGAAACCCAGAAGCTACCTTCTACCTGTTATACCATGTTCTGCCCCAAGTAAAGGCAAAGAGTATATGATGGGGGAGGGAAGATGGAAACACGATTCAAAGGGATCTGTGATTGGGTCAGGGATTTAGCCTGTGTTGCAAGCTCAAGGTCCTGAGTTTGATCCTTGGTACAAAAAACCCACAAACAAACAAACAAACAAAAAGAACAAAAAAACCCCAAAAAACCAACCAAACACACACACAAGGGGATCTATGCTCACTCAAGACCCAAGCAAGGCCACAAAAAGAAACTGCCCACAGAATTTCAGATACAGTAATCCCATAGTGACCCGCAGGCTGCTGTGACACCTCATGCCAGACTCAGTCCCTACCTGTACAGGTGTGTTGTAAGAGGCCTCTCTTCACCATCCATAGTCCCTGTCCATACTCCAGAGGACACATCAGCTCAGCTTTGGGAACAGGACAACCTGGCATGAGAAATAAATGGTGTATGAGTATACTGGTAAAGACAAACAGTCTCAAGTTTACAGGAGTACATACCTTTGACACAAGGCCAAGAAACCTTAGGGAGAGCCCACCCCTGCTCTAGAAAGTATTCCTAATCATCTATGTCAGTAGGATTCCATCTTCCTATGTTATCAGGATTACCTAGCAATGCTGAGTTAAAAAAAAAGTCTCCATAAGGACTAAGCCCTGGTAGTTTGGGGTTTTTCCTTTTTTTTTGGGTTTTTTTTTTTTTTTTTTAATGACAAGGTCTCACTGCATAGTACAGGCAGGCCTTGAGTTCATTATTAGCCAAGGGTCGCCTCAACTTGCAGCAATCCTGCCTCAACCTCCCAAGTGCAGAATTGGTAGTTTTTTTGTTTGTTTGTTTGTTTTTGTACTGGGGATCAAACTCAGAACCTTGTGCTTATGAGGCAGGCAGCGGAACCACTCAGCTAAATCCCTAGCTCCCAGAACTGGTAGGTTTTTTTTTTTTTTTTTTTTGGTTTTTTGAGACTGCCCTGGAACTCACTATGTAGCCCAGGCTGGTCTCAAACTCACAGCGATCCTCCTGCCTTAGCCTCCCGAGTGCTGGGATTATAGGAGTGTGCCACCACGCCTGGCTGAACTGGTAGTTTTTAAAGTCACTCAGGTATAGGTGGGTGTGGTGGTGCAGGCCTATAATCCCAGCACTTGGGAGGCTGAGGGAGGATGATTGCAAGGAGGTTGAGGCCAACCTGGGCTACACAAAAAAAGTTCAAGGCCAGCCCGATCCACGCAGCCAGACCCTGGCTCAAAAAAAAGCCTGATGATTGAAAAACTCTGAACCAAATCGACTGAGGGATGGCATCTACTGGCAGTCAGCTCTATGAGGTAAGCAGGTGACCTAAACCCAGTACCCATTCTGCATAAATAGCCTTTATTTTACATCGTTTTAACCAAATGTGGGGGTTTTTTATTGTAGCTGTTCCTGCATCATCCTGTAATCCCTACAAAGGTGCTGGCCTGATGACCTAGTCCAGGACACAAAGCACTTAGAGAACAGGGATGGTATCTATCAACCTGGGAGCTAACACCACTTCTGGGGTTTTTATTAGGTGAAATAACAATTTTTTTTTCAGGATGAAACCTATAGAGGTCCCTGTGATGTCCAACAGGTCAATGTCTGCTCACGGTGACTTGGGGGGATGGAAGACTGCTAACTCCAAGCAGCCAGACTTCTTGAAGTTGGGATGTTTTGCTAACTCCCGCAGAGATGGCCTTATGGGGAAAACAAGGATGCTCCCTAAGGGACAATCAGATAAAAGTTGGTAATTCAACCAAATGGTCACAAGGCCTTGCTAACCTAAAACAAATCTATATGCTCACCAGAGCGCGGTGCCTTTGCTGTTATTTGATAAATCTGGGAGTTGAGTCAGTTCAGGGCTTCACTTTGGCGAAGTCCCTGGACCCTCCCCAGAGATGGCCTCTGTCTCTCGTTTTTCATTCACCTCTGTATCAAGGCTTGCTGGCTCAAACTTGGCAAAACCAGTGTGAGGCGGTCTTCTGTTATATTCAGCCAAATATACTTTGCTAAATGTGGGGGCTAAAAGACAAAAGACTCTGGAAAGAAGCCAATGATGGAGGCAACGGGACTCACAGAAACATCAACAGGAAAATCTTATCCACTAGGCTAGAATGCATCCAGTTGTCATGTAGCACATATTCACTGATGTGTCCTGTATGCCTGGCACTGAGCTCAGGGATGGCGCAGTGGGAAAGGAAAACGAGACTTTCCTTCATTTCTGTTAAGGAATCAAGTTCTGCTCTGCTCGTGTTGGTACCTCCACCTGAAATGCTGTACATCATACATCTGCTTTCAACAACTCATCAAAACGGCCATAAAATAGAATTGTATTTAACTTACTGATGGTTGGATTCCTAGATGACAGTGTGAGGATTTAGGGTGGTAGAGCCTTGTCAGAGGTAACCATCTGGAAGTCTGTGAAAAAACACTTCTGGCCTCTATTTAATTCCTATTCGGACCAATTTCTAGGTAACACGGCTATTAAAAATTTAAGTAGGAGAACATTTGGGATTTGTTCAATATAACAAATATACTTGGAGCACTTGCTATATTCCAGATTTTATTCTAAGCACATTATAGATATTTGTTCACTCACTTTATAGATACTAGTAATAAATTATTATAAAAATGATAAAATCAAATTAACATGTGAATTCTCAAGAAACTCATGCTGCCTGCTCAAGGCTGGGAGTTTGAGGTTATTTCTTTTTGCTGAGGGGGGAATTAGGCAACAGTTAAGCATAAGCTAGCATAAGACTTAGGATTAAGCCAAGATTTGAGAAACATAAGGTAGGAAGGACAAAAGGAAAAAGAACAGCTTTCTCAGGTGCCCATCTATGCCACCTGATAACGTATCTATGTATCCTCTAAAATTATCTCCTGTACCAGCAGAGAAGCAAGGCACAGGCCTTAGGAAATAAGAGTCTACTATTCAGGTAGCAGGGGCCCAAAAAGCTTTTTAGCTGAGCCCAAGTTGCTTAGAAAAATACCAGTAGCACTGAGCAAACACTTTCTAGAGCCTTTCTTGGAGAAACCCCCTTACTAACTGGTCTGTGAACACATCTGACTCAATCATCCTGGGCCAATCATCTCACAGAGGCCAGCTTGTGCTAGCCATCAGGTGAAAGCGCAGAGATCAAGGAGATGTCAGACCACAGTATGCTGAGGCTGTAGGAAGCAGGGAGGTTGGCCTCCTGAGGCTTTTTCAACCAGCTATGCCTGTGTTGGGGGGTGCAGGGTGAGGTGATAAAAGAGGCTTTAAGTTCCTCACTCTGGAAGGGCAATGAAGCCTTACCCAGTGAGACCAGGAGCTTACAGGTCTCCAGCATCACTTCCTGGTACAGAGTCCTCAGGAACAGGTCCAGATGCCACCATTCCTCCCCAGTGAATGTCATAGCCACATCTTCAAATGACACCCACACCTGGAAAGTCAGAGGTTGTAAGGGTGGCTGTGAAGCTAAGAAATGAGATTAGAGCCTATCTCTTGGTTACTGACAAGAGTTCAGATAGAGTCAAGGCCTGAAACAGTGAGCACTTCCTCAAAACCTCCCTGATGCTAACTAAGCTCAAGAGGGAGACAGATGGTGCCTCTGACAGAACAGAAGGTGTGGAAGGGAAACACCAGGAAGCCACTGAGGAGCGACACCAGACAATGGTAATATCATGTGGACTGTGAGGAGCAAACACTAGGTGCTCTGGAACATTAGAAGAACAGGAAGAAAATACAGTGGACCCTTGACTTATGAACTCAATCAGTTCCCAAGAGCTGGTTGTAACTCAAATTGGTTGTAAGTCAATATAGCTGAGATCTGGATGTTTACCTGGGTACACATTGTAGATAACAAGAGGCAGATGAATCTTACATTAACCTATTTAACCCAAGTTGTTCGTATGTCAGGCCGGTTGTAACTTGAGGGTCCACCGTAATAATTCAAATAATGATTACAGCAGCAGCAGCTGAGCCTCACTAATCCACTGTTTTCCGCCCTTGAGGCCTTTGCATGCTCTGTTAAAGCAACTAAGTTTCCAGGTCTCCTGAGGTGTAAGTCCAGCTTCCTGACCCTGGGGAAGTCTCAAATTTTTTTTTTTTGAGCTTCAGTTTCCACATTAATACAATAGTTGCTACTATTCCAGGTTGTAATGAGAATTACAGAGAAAATGTTCATAAAGCAAACACCATATTGCCTGCTACATGTCACAGAAATAATTTCTGCATGTTTGCAAATTTAATATCCCATAGCCTATGAGGTAAATGCCATCACCATCTCTGTTTCACAACTGGCAAATTGAGGCTAAGTAAGAGTCAACTCATTCAGAGCAATATGTTTAACGAGAAGTAGGATTTGAACTCAGGTCCCTCTGGTCTAGTGTGTATGAGTGTAATCCTTTTCTTCCATCACCATAGTGAATCCACAGTGATGAGGGTAAAAAAACATTTCCAATAATTTGCACATTTAAAACCATTTTAGGCCAGGGATTTAGCTCAGTGGTGCCATCATCTGCCTCACAAGTGCAGGTCCTGAGTTCAAGTCCTGGTATCAAAAAATGCATTTTAGCCAATCCTGAAGATATTTTCATAGATATGGAAGAGCAAAGCCCTTATCAGGCACCTGGCAGAAGAGGTACATGAGGAGATGTCAAATGCGTGGGATTGAGCAGGGTTCAAACAAGCTCTCCCCACCCTGCAGCTGTAGCTGGACACGCAGACTCCCTGGAAGATTCCACCAGGAGCCAACATCCTATTGTTTTTCTTTCTGAGCCACTTTTAGCACATTTTCCTAAGGTATTACTACTTAAGTACCAGTAACACAAGTGACCAAGGACAATGTAAGCTATGGCTCTAAGAACACAGGCAGCAGCCTTTAGCATGATGGCTGTCTTGGGTAAGGATGGTCTAGCAGGATGAGGACCTTCCAGCCCCACAATCTCACTTCCTGAGACACACTTCAGCAGCTCATGAGTGCCTCGGCAACCTCCCAGGCTCTCTCATGCCTCCTTGAACAAAACTTGCCTGTGTCCATGCAGCTCCCTTCCTCTGAAGTTTCCTCAAAGTCCCCCTCATTCCTATGCCCACTTGCCAGAGAGAGTCTGATGGGTTCCCCAAACCACTGTGGGTGGAATTTTCCCCATTTGTTCTTACAGTGCTCTGGGAAAGTCCAATACAGCACACATCCAAGGGGCAGCCTTGCAGAGATGTGAAGACAGTGTGACACAGGAAAGCGGGCAACAAGCTTGGCCAAATTCTGGCCAGTGTAGCCCAAGGACAGGGCAGTGAGAGAGAAGAGTGGGAGGGTGGCCCGGTAGCAGAAGACTTTATAGCCTTGGTTGGAAGTTTAATCTCAGAATGATAAGAGGCCTAGAGAGCCCAGCCCTACTCTAGGAGCTTATTCTAGGTTGTGGACAGAGTCTCAACAATGGGCAAGAAGGAAAGACAAAACAAAACAAAACACTCAAAAAACAATAAATGATCAAGATAAAGTCAGATGATTCTAAGGGCTCTGAAAACAAGAAGAGATTGAGATGACTACAAAGGTTAGGGGAAGTATTAGATGAGACAACCAGGGAAGACACAGAAACAAGGCTGGAATGAAGTGAGAGAGAAGGAATGAATAAATAAGACAAGTCCTGCAGGTGATCAGCGCTATGATGAGAGTAAACAGGGCGGCATGCTGGATCGTAAGCGGGAGACATTGTGTGTTTATATCCCCAAAGACAAAACACTCCTGTCGCTGTCACAAATGAGTATTGTAGTTGATTCTCTTTGAAAATACAGGTAAATACATTAGATGGGAAAAAGGATTCATTCCTGCTAAGTGGCAGGCCAAATTCCCTTAGAATAAACAGACAGCATTTGCAAAGATAAACCCAATGCTTCTTGTCTTCCTGACGACCAGGACACTTCCTACTCCTGTTAGAAAAGAGCAATTCCAAAAACACTACTCCCAACTTACCTCTGCCCAGAAGATTTTCATCCCTTCTCCCAGTTTTCAGCTAGATAGAAGCTGAGGCAAGGAGACCTGAGGGTCAGAATCCCTTCCCAGAAATGCACACAAAGCAATGCTCTCTTGGTGGTGTTGAGCACTGCAAGACACATGTCACAAACGAATCCTCTGCAGTTTCCTCAATACAGAATATTCCCATTTCAGATCCAAGGGGATGAAGCATGAAGCTCGAGGCCGAAGCAAGAAGTGGGAAACACTCAAAAGTCATATTACAGTGATAAATGCCTACCATTGTTTATAGCAGCACAACTCACAGCAACTGCTAAGTCAACAGATGAAGAAAATTACACAATGGTGTACTCATTAGCTCAAAAGGATAAATTTGAGTCATTTGTAGGGAAAATGGATGGATACTGAGACCATAATACTAAGTAAAATAAATCAGACACAGAAAGTTAGCTATCACATGGCTTCTCTAACATGAGAGATCAAAAATATAAATAGTTTAAAGAGCAAATAAAAAAGAAAGATGGTAGGAAACAGAAATATACTCTGTAGAAAAGGGAAGGGGATTTGGTTAAGCAGGGAAGGGGGAAAGAAAGGAGTAAAGATGATCAAGATGCCTGGTGTGGGGGCTGGCACAGAATTTTAATCCCAACAGTGGGTAGGCAGAGGCAGGAGGATCACAGAAAATTTGAGGCCAGCTTGGACTACACAGTGAGTTCAAGGCCAGTCTTATCTACATAGAGACCCTGTCTCAAAAAACAAAATGATCACGATACAGTATGTGTGGGTATCAATTTCTCAAAATGAAACTAATTATTATTTACTGCAAATACATTCGAGGGGGTAGGGGAGAGAAATTCCTTTTATAAACCCTAGTCTGGTCTGAAGATCCTGGGTTAGAAGTTATTATCCCTACCCTTCTCCACTCCCTCCTAGGATCTCCAGATCCCAGGGTCAGAGTTCCAGGATCCCCCAGGACCAAGGTTGCTGAGCCAAGAGCTTTTGGGACTGTGGAACCCTTCACTCACCAGCGCAGGCGCCGCCATGGGATACAGTGGGCGGACGGAGCGAGGCTGAGCGGGGCGACCAGAGCCAATAGGGCGGCCTCAGCGAACCCCTAACTCCAGTCTTGGGCAGCGCAGACCCTCAAAGTTTCAGTTGCATAAAACGCGCACAAGGCTCAAGGCGCCGCCTCCAGATGTTGTGGGGGACAAAGGGTTGATACCGAGCCCCCCAAAACGCTCAGCGGACGACTCTGTATGGGGGATGTGCAAGAGGGAGTCACGGTTCACACCATAGGTTCAAGTGAGTCTTGCTGTCCTCACTGTCCTTCTCTGCTTGGTCTCGAAAAACTTGAAAAGCTGCTTCTGACCCAAACTCCAGGTACAGTGCAACTGATAAAATGGTTTTAGCTGCCACCGAATGACTTCAGGACCGGAAGCTAGGGGAAGCTAGGGGCATCCAGGAACTGCCCCTCCGTATTCCGTCACTAGCCCCGCGCCTGCCTTCGACGGACAAAGCATTGCCTTCTGGGTAGCGTAGTTTCTGACCAAAGTGAGAGCGGAACTTGGAGGGCATTTCCTTGTCTCGGGAAATAGCTTCTTTAGGGAAATAGCTTCTTTAGGTTCCAAGGAGTGAGGTGTGGCTTCGCTTGCTCTTAAAGGAGATGGTACGTATTTCCGAGGCCCCTTGACCCATGCTCATGACTGTCCTTGACTTTCTTCCCTAAGTCTCTCTGCCCTTAATCTTTCTGGGCCTTGAAATGTATAAGAAAAATGCAGACAATTCTTTATTACAATATTAATTATTTTCTTACTCAGTAGTTTTCAGGCCACATTAGCATTACTTGGGCTTTGCTTGAAATAAGAGTTCTCAGAACCCGTCTCAGATTTGCTGTAGTGGGCATTCTGAATAAATCCTTCAGGGGATTTTGCTGCTCTAACACGTTTGAGAATCCCTTTAAATTCTAGTCAATAAAACAAAACTACCCTTTCGTGGGAGATAACTAAAAGTGCTTAATACTGGGAGCTGAAGTATAGTAAGTAGGATCTATTGCTGTTATTATTTATATTCATATTATTGGCAACAATCTTACACTACCATGAGGAAGGCTGAGATACTTCTTTTCAGAGTTATTGGTGATACTTGTCAAAGCATAAAAACATTGACTCAACAAGGTACCCCATAAGTATTGTTTACATTTTTTACATAATAATATACTTTTTACCATTTGCTTCACGCAAGTTTTTTTTTCCTATCTCCACTTTGCTTTATCTTTTCCATCACACATGACTTTCCTGAGTCTGTGTTGTGTGGGGTATCTCAGTTCTTGGACCCTCCCAGAGAAGATCTTTGAGGAGGTCTACAGAAAGATACTCAAAGGGCCAGGGATTTAGCCCAGTGGTTCTGACACCTGCTTTACAAGTGCAAAGTCCTGAGTAAAATAAGTATCAGAATGGAGGTAATATAATTGAGAAAGTTGCTGGGTGGTTTGCCTCATGAACTTTTTGGAAAATTGTCTGACATCTGCATCCCATGCTAACTGGGATAAGGAAACAGCTACCCCTACCAGGCTTGGCCATTAAATTTCCTTCTGGTGAGTATCAGGTATAAGGACTTGAGGCCGAGGATAGTCTGTGCTATGTACTGGAGTTGAGAGTGTGGGCTTAGTTTAGTTCTTGGCCTAGTTCTTGATTTCAGTTACAGTATTTGGTCCTCGTGGTCCCTGGCTGAACCCAGAGGGACCAGGAAATAGGAGGTAAGACAAGAACACAGCAAGAATTACAGGTAGGTAGGAAGGAGGGCTCTAGAGGCATTCTGTATTGGCCAGACTAAAGTTGACAGGATTGAAGGAAGAAGACTGTCTATGCAAAGGAGTGAGGTGAGCTTTCCCCAGTGAACCACGTGTCCACAGGTCTCCAGAATCATCTGGGACAGGGTCTTCTGGGTCAGGACCAGGTACCCCCATTCCTCCCAGCTGAAGACCATAGACAAGAACCGGAAGGTGAGGACAACTGAACAGACAGATAGCCACATTGGTCACGGGGCTGCTGGATGAAATAAGATCCTGTTTCTTGGTCACTGGTAGCAGTGCAGAGACTCAGGGCCTGAATGACCAAGAACATCTAGTGAGCTGGGCTCTGTGCTGTGCTCATTGCGGAGGCAAATAGTGTCTTTGGATGTGGTGCAACTGAGCCATACAGAAAAGCCACAGATGACAGAAGCTGCAAGGGGCAGATAGTAAATGCTCCAGTATAGCAGAGAATAGGGAAATAATGACAAAAATTCAGATGATAATAGCAGCAGCAACTTAGTGGTCTTTGGTGTGTGTCAGCCTTATATGGAGGCCTTCATACACTCTATTTAAGTCTCAGCTCCGAATCCAGACACTCAGTTTCATGTTAGCCTCTAGAAACCAAGGCTTGTGAGGTATGTGACCTTGGAGAAGTCACTTTACTTTTTTGAGCCTCAACTCCCATTAATAGAACAATTCTGAATTGTTGGAGAATTAAAAAGAAAATGTTTCAAGAGCAATCAGTGGCATTGCTAGCTTATGTAATGCCTCCTCTCCAAGTGTTTGTGTGTGTGTGTGGGGGGGGGTGTTGTGTTTAATGAATCAATACCGATTCATCATTCTTAACGAAAGCTCATAGTTATTCAGATTTCCTTTGTATTTACTGAGTGCAATATCTATTTCAAGATCCAACCTAGGAGACTAGAAGACTGCATTAGTTACACAGTATCTCCTTAGCGGAAACAATTCTTCAAATTTTGGTTTTTAAAATTATTATTGTATATATTGAGTATATACAAAATATTTTCATGTAATAAAATGGTTAGTGTAGTCAAGCAAATTAACATAATCATCACTTCACATAATTACCCATTATTTTCAGGACAAGAACTCTAGAATCTAACTTTTTGGCAAAAATGCCAAGTTTATTAGTAACCATAAATGCGGTACGATGGGTCTCCACACTTTTCATTCTGTATACCTGCTACTCTGTATACTTGACCTACAGCTCCCCGTTTCTCTTTACTGAACCCGATGTATAGCATATTGGTGCCACCATGTGAAAATCAATATGGAGGCTCCCAAACAAATTCAAAACAGAACTATATGACCCCTCAATGTGTTTCTTGTCATATTCTCAAAGGAAAGAAAATCGCTATCTTGTAAAGATATCTATTTTTATATAACTCATGCTGCATCCCCATGTTCATAGCAGTATTATTCATAGTAAGTGTCTGTTGATGGATGAGTAGATAAATCACTTGTGATACACACACATACAGAGGGAAAAAGACAGACAGAGAGAGAGAGAGAGAGACAGAGACAGACACACATAAAGGTATATTACTCAGCCTTAAAAATATTGAGTTACAGTACTACCATTTTCCACAACATTAATTTGGAGGAAGTATGCTGAGTGAAATACATAACTCAGACCCAGAAAGAAAACACCGCATGATTATGAGTTATCTGTAGACTCAAAAAAAAAAAAAAACATCAAATACGCAGAGGTAGAGAAGAAGCAATGGACACTGGGGAGAAATGAAGAGGTGTGGGCTTTGCTTGGTTTTGAAGACTTTGATAGTGTTTTGGATTACTGTTCAGGTATTTTGAGGGATGCTCCTCTACTGGAACTTCCTATCTGATTTTCTCATAATCATGTTTTTTTTTTCAGGGAGTTATTGGGTTTTTTATCGGGGGGGGTTGCAGAAGTGGAGTACTGTTGTAATCACATGATGTTAAGGGTACATACTGTCCGCATGACTCGTGACTGCTGATGTTGATTTTCACAACCTTGCTGATTGAGGTAGTGTTCAAGTTTTTCCACTGTAAAGCTATTCTTTTTTGTTTGTTTGTTTGTTTTTTGAGATAGGATCTCACGGTGTAGTTCAGGATGGGCTTGAACTCACTATGTAGCCCAAGCCTGCTTTGAACTATAGTGATCTTCCTGCCTCAGCCTCCTGAGTGCCACCACACCCAGCTTCACTATAAAGTTACTTTTTTAATCTTCATTATATTGTACAAGGAAATCACAATTTAGAGCCTATATCCTCTCTCCTTTGGAATAGAATATCTAATTTATTTAGAATTTAGCACATATTTGTCTCTTGTGCATTTATTAAATTATTTGAACATTTATTCATATGACAATGTATGCATACAATTTTATAGGTTATAATGTAATGATATGTATATATTAATATAGATATATACATATGTCTCTCTATACATGTACAAATGAACATTTATTCTCAAAATTTTCTAGGTTTGGCATTGGAAACTCTTTCAGTCTGTTCCTGTGTCTCCCTGACAAATCTCCATCATTGTGTTTGTGTGTGTGTGTGTGCAAGGAAGGATGTTTATTTTTGGCACTTTTACTTGATTGTTAGGTAAATGGCAGCAAACTAGTGAAAGAACACAGTGAGCTTGAGTTTGGGGTTCCAGGTGAGATCTCCCTGCTTCCTGGAATAACGGTTAAGGAGAGTCTGACTCAAGTTTATTGAATGGGTTTTTTATTGACAGACTTAGGTGGGTGGGGATCAGTGAAGTGAGGCTAGCTGAGTAGCAATGGCTCTATGGCAACTGCTGACATAGAAACAGCTAATGTTTTGTTGTGCCAAGTGAACCATGTCCTAGCAATGTAAAGCTGGGTGTCAGGAGGATGTGGGGTAATGTTTTGGGGTTCAGATGGCTGGGAACAGCCATTCTTGGTTGGCTGGGGCAAACAGGGGTCAGATCTCTTACTAATCAAGGAAATGAAAGATTTCTACAGTGAAAAGTACAGTATGCTGAAGAAGGAAAAAGAGAACATCACAAAATGATAAGATATCCCCTGTTACCAGATAGGTAGGACCTATATAGTCAAAATGGCCATACTTCCAAAAATTAACGCAATCCCAATCAAAATACCAACAAGCTGGGCATGGTGGGGCACGCCTGTAATCTGAACACTTGAGAGGTTGAGGCAGGAGGATCACTGTAAATTCAAGGCCAGCCTGGGCTACCTAATAGTCTCAAGGTTAGCCTGAGCTATAGAACAAGACCCTGTCTCAAAAAACAAAAGGAGCAAAACAACAAAATCAAAATGCCCATGGCATTCTTCACAAAACCAGATAAAAATGATCCTAAAATTCATATTGAACCAGAAAAGACCCAGAATAGCAAAACCAACCCTTGGCAATAAGAGCAAATGGTAGTCATCACAACCCCAGAGTTGAAGTTATAGTGGCACAAAAATAGACCCACGGATCAATGGAACAGAACAGAGGATGTAGAGACAAACTCAAGCATATTCAACTATTTCATATTTGACAAAGGAGCCAAAGACATACACAATAAATCATAAAGCAGTAAATGTAAGTATGTGTTTTCCTGAGTTCTATGAGTCAATTAACCAAATAATTAAACCCAAGGAAGAGGTTAGGAGAACCTTGATTTATAGTCAGTTTGCTGAAGCACAGGTAAAACAACCTGGGGCTTCCAAGTGGCATCTATAGAGGTGGCGTTGGGGACCAAGCCTTCCATCTGTGGGGTCTGACATTATCTCCAGGAAGCATTGGAACTGAACTGGATTAGAGGACACCCAGCTGGGGTCTGCTGCAGAACTGCTTGCCCACTTTCCAATACGGGGACATCCCTACGATGTTTGGAGTCACAGAAGTCTTCTGTGTTGATTATGGTTGATTATGGCAGAAGAATAGAAGAAAAACAGACCAACATATCTGTACGGTGTCAAGCAAGGGTAGCAGTTACAAGGCAGATCCGCAAGCTTTCTATAACCTTGAAACTTATGAGGCATCTCCCCACTGTGGATATTCAGGTATACAAGACTCAACTTCAGGGAGATGCGCTCCTCACAAACACCCTCCTCCAGCATCAGTGTGTTGAACAAGGAGACTGCACGTGCCTTACACGTCCAAGACATTGCCTGTGTGAACTCCTGTGAGGTAAGACCTTCAGTGGCAAGCTTTCCCACACTCATTACACTCGCAAAGCCTTGTTGCAGTGTGTACAGCTCTGAAGCCAAATGAATTCAAATCCTTGGGTGAAAACTTTCCTAATTTATTGTACCCAGAAAGCCTATCTGGATGAACAGCTTATGCTAAACCAGATCTTTGAATGAAAGGTTTCCTACATTCAAGGAACCTATAATGCCTTTCCCCATTGCAGATTTTCTTGTGCTGGACAAAATGCTTTTTTGGGTGGGGGGTTGTGTGTGTGTGTGAGTGTGTGTGTGTGTGTGTGTGTGTGTGTGTGTGTGTGTGTGTTTTAAGATATGGTCTCACTATGTAGTTCAGGTTGGCCTCGAACTCACTACATAGCCCAGGCTGGCCTTGAACTCCATGTGCTCTTCCTGCCTCAGTCTCCGGAGTGCTGGGATTACAGGTGTGGACCATCATGCCTAGCTAGTTTTTACATTTTTAAGACAGGGTCTCACAGTTTAGTTCAGGCTAGACTCTAACTCTTGATGATTCTCCTGTCCCAGCCTCCAGAATGCTGAGATTAGGGGTATACATCACCACACCCTGCATTGTTCTTGTTTTGTGATAGCCATCCTAATAGGTGTGAAGAGGCACTTCATTATACAAAAATTTCCTGATATGTTTTTCTCTAAATTTGAATTTTCTTCTGGTCCATATTATAATTTAACAAATTAATAACAGATGCTGAACAAAGGTAAATCTTGGGCTTGGGGTACAAGTGAAAGGGGCAATTAACAACTAAGTTATGGCCGGGGATTTAGCTCAGCGGTTTGGTACCCTGCCTTGCAAGAGCAAGGATCTGAGTTCAATCCCCGATACCAGAAACAAACAAAAAAACAAAAAACAAAAATCAAACAAAAAAAACCCAAATAAAGTTAGTTTGCAAATTTTCAGGGCCGGGGATTTAGCTCAGCAGTTCGGTGTCCTGCCTTACAAGCAGAAGGACCTGAGTTTGATCCCCGGTACCACAAAACAAAACAACTAGGTTATTTTATTTATTTGTTTTTTTTTTTTTTTTTTTTTTTTTTTTTTTTTTTTAATAGTG